AAAGGGTTTAGGCTTAAGGCTATTATTTGAAGTGGGCTGCACTTCTGGAAAAATATATTAAAAATAGCCATTTAAAATGCGTTTTGCACGTGCCTTACACGGTTTTGCTTATTAACACTAACTTTAGCTAATATTAATATTAACAAGTAAATTAGAAATTCAAGTACTAGACCCATAAAGGTAAACGCACAAGTTGGTCCGGCCCTCTTTGTGCGCTGCAAATATGTTAACTGCAAAGTTTTGTGAAAATGTAATTAAATTTATTTTAACATATTTGTGCTTGACTGTGCTACTAGGCGTATGCGCAATTTGCCACACAAAGTGCGATGTTAGTGGAATAATTTCTTAATTGGATTAACATAGTTTTGCAACATATTCTTACACATGCATCATCAGCATACTTTTGGGCTTGCTTTGAGAGATTCGCTCAAGACATAGCCCCAAACATTTGATGTAAACAGATGAAATTTGTAACAAGTCTTACATAGCCTATTAAAGTAAATACGATTTTGTATTCAACTGAAGGCATCGCCATGTGATATGAATCAATGTAAGCACCACATTTAAGTGCAGCACATCGCATAAAAATACATACAATCAACCTGATTAAAGTCTGCCCAGCCTAATACCGTGGGTCTAGACATCTCATTTATCTACTCGGACAAATAGCACAGACAAGCCTTATAAATATTTAATGTAACTAATTGTTGTTGGTGACATTCGGTTTGCGGCTCCGATAACAATCGTGTAATGTGAACAGCGTAATAAATACATATTTATAGAGCCGCCGGGCAACTCGTCAATTTCTAACACTCGAATTTTGACTAATGACTGCGGCAACAGCTGCGTTGCCCAAGGCACCGGTCAAAGGTTGAATCTATTAGTAATGTATATATAGTATAAATGAATAAAAAAAAAAAAAATAAGCAAAGAGACAACTGAATACACTTGCGGGCAAACGTGCCCGATTGAAATTGTTATTATAGCAAAATAATTAGAATTGATTCAATGAAAGTATTTGAATAAATCATAAAGTTAAATTGAATGTTAACAAACAGAAATTATATTTTCTCAGAAATCAGCTTTAAATCTCTGTTCGTATAAAATTTGCTTACAAAACTACTCGCAGAGAATTTATGTCTTTCGCCTTTCGTTGACCTGTTGGCCCGGCAAGGAACATACACACTGCTCACAACGTTCTTCAATTGTGAACTCTGCTGTCCATCAATGTATTCCCTAATAAATTATTCAGGAGAATCTATGGCAATGCGAAAGCTATGCTGCAAAATTTTACAATATTTTGCTACACAAATATTTGTTGCCTTTAGCTGCTTTATTAAAATGCCCCATTTGTGTTTTTACAGTTTTCCTCTTCTTACTTGTTTGTGTCCTGTACCTATATTTTTGTTTTGCTTAAATTCACAGAACTCCCTAAAGCCAAATGTATTCATTTTGTTTCATCATAAGTCATCCAGGCAGCATATTCTTCTTTAAGTTAAAATTTTCGTAAAACTCTACAATTCAAACCATTCAATTTGTCAAGTATTTGCCGTGACGAAACCAATTGATTAGTTTAATTGTGCAACAGAAAAATTGAATATTTGATGTCAAGTGTGCCCATTAATTTAACTTTTCTCTGCTGGTAAGTGGAAAACTCAGCATTGCATTATTTTTAAATTAAATAAATAGTATAAGAGAAACTAAAAATAGAGTTTGTGCATTTACTATGCAAAATAAATGCAACACAAATGTATTCCAAATCGTTGTCGACTAACAGATACCTTGTAATGTATATAATATAAATGATAGCCCAACATTTAATCTGCAGCTAACAAATTATTGCTGCTATGTTTTTCTTATCACCATGATATTTTATGATACCTGTATATGTTGAAAAGGGTTTCACACTTTTCTGAAAATTCCTCTCTGCTTGATGAAAGTGAAGGTCAAGAAGTCATTTGCTAGATGACAGTCAAACCAAACTTTCAAGTGAGAATTCGATAATCCTTCTAACCACCGTGGTGTTTACAGGGTATAAGAAAGTCAGATTGTGCATCAATTTCCAAATACCTGCTGTTCATTGCAGACATATTTAATAGCGCTTCAGTACTTTAGCATATTATGGGTCGCACTTTTCCCATAACAACATTTGCATTGCCCTTTTTTTGTTGTGTTGTTTTTTTTTCTTCTTTTGATTTTTCTAAAGAAAACGCGAAAGTAAAAAGAGCTTTGCAATTTGTAAAAGAGGTTCAACAAGGGGAAACAACTGGATATATTTACGTGCTTCGATGCATTTTTGGCCTTGGTGTGGGGACTTTAAAACTGAGCTTGAATATCATTTGATATAATTAACATTTAAAAGCAAGAAGATAGGTAAAACATATTTAAACTGAATGCTGAGGGTAAGAGACAAAGCGTGACTACTCAAAAAACGATTCCACTTCAGCCGGCTAATCAATCAGCTCTTCGGTTCACTTACTTGATAAGATTGTCCAATTACCTTTTAATAATGTGACCTTTTGGTTTGCCCTTTTAACAAAGAAATTACCCGGTTAATAGCAGTACAAAGGGCACGTCCCAGATTTCATTAAAACCAGCCAAATCTAGAGTCAATACGTAAAATAAATTCACGTTTCTCATCAGATTTTGGTTACATTCACTTTGACAGCAAACAGCAAAAGTTCAAGGAAATGTTTAATCATTTTAAATAGTTTTCACCAGCGAGGGCTAGCAATTAGGAATTGAACATTTGTTGCATGCCGCAAAGAAAAAGTTGCATGTAGCACAAACTTTCCAACATTTGCATTATTTAACTTTGCAGATGTTTCTAGACAGAAAGTTGGGTCACAACGAATATCCGTGTCCCTTGCCAAATAATATCAAGGGCGCACGTGCGGAAAATTTAAATGATATTCGGTATGCTGCCCAAATAAGTAGACTATTACATTTTGAACACCCTCAACTGTCACCTGAGAAAACAGATTGGCTAAAAATACGCCTCTAGAGCTGAAAGCTGCTTGTCGTAATATTTTTTATATATATGCAGTTAGAGCAGAACATGTGCCTTGCAATTGATATGGGAAACTGACGCAAATTATATAAATTCAATATTATATATTAACCCCTGACCAGTTAATGAGAAATATATTCCTTGCATTATCCGTTTTCATTTCAACAGCAACTCAAATTACACAAAATTTCCCTGGAAATAAAATTAACCGGAAATGTTGTGAGCTTGGCATTGAAAAGATGTCAAGCAAGATTTTATTTATTTATTTTCCCCCTCTTTTGTTATTGACGCAATTAGACAACTCAGCGGGGTAACAATGCTTATAAATTATTGTTCACTCTGTGCAATTGTCAAACGTAGTTTGGAAAATGTGTTCATTCATATATAAACTACTTCTGTTCACATGCTCATTTAGTATGTCCTAAAGCATCAACGTGTCCACAGTTGTCTCTAATGTGCCTCTCATTTTAAATAAATGTTATTAACTTAGAGAAGCCCAAGTAAACATTGTGCTTGAGTTAAATGAAAAACCAACACATTTTAATATGTATTCATTGCATTGAGTAGCTACGTTTATACGTGCTAGTAATTAAGCTCCAGTATTTAACGGACAGCTCAATCAGAGATGCCAGGCTTTGAATTAAAGTAAAACCTGACAAGCTGACAACTCACAGCTCGAGTGGTGTTAGGTGTTATTCAGGCGGCTCTTAGCATACATACAGAATTAAAAATGTGTTCAAAATCTGTTGGCTTTTAGCGAAATTAATTTATCTACAAACCAGGAAAATGCCTAAATTAATACGAAAAAAAAAAGTTGAAAGGCAACAAGAAAAACGCATTTTAAAGTCTTGTTTGCCAGCTTTATGGCCTAATAATTCTTTGGGGCACATTTAATTTCCTTTAGAGCTGAAGTCTTTTGGCATGTTGGGCTTTAGACTGAGTTGTGCTGTGCCATAATTACAGTTTGTTGGGCGTACATTTGTAAGTGTAATTACCTCAAGTTCTTATTCGTTTCTTCATTTCACGCTTGGCTATTACAGTTTATCCTGCAGGCAAACAGGGGCGTGTCAAAAGTAAGAACACCTGGCCACAATGGCAATTTGTTGACGTAATGCCAGAGTAGATGTAGACTAAAATCAAAAGGAGAAACATGTGGCATATATTGATTTTGTATCTGATACATGCAAAGACATTCACCCTGTAATATCAAGTAGTTGATAAAAGTTCGCATGAATAGCTAAAAATTCTCACGCAAAGTTTATTAACCAATTCTATTTCGGAATATGTTCTGTTGCATATACCCAATAATATTAAACTTGAATTTCTTTTCTTTTAATTAAGTGTATTTCGCACTTGACTTTGAACCTTAGCTGTTTAAGAGAATGTTTATATTTTCGACAGATCAAAAACAAAACAACTTAAACAAAATATTTATGGAATATTTCTAAAAAAATGTATCCGCAATCCACCAAGCATTGAGCTAAAAGTAAACAAGCATAGGCCATGCCTTTTAAGGCGCAGCCACCCACATGACAGGTAGATGCTAAAAATTCATTGATCAATTTTCCAACCAAATAAATTGCCAATTGCCAAACATACGAGCATTGTTTGTATTTTATATAGTTGTTTTAATATATGTTTTTTTTTGTTTTTTCCGATATGCGAGCGGAATAATTAGTCAAGTGACGGACTGTCTGACTACTTCGTTGGCTGGCAGTGTTTAGTATGCGGCACGTGTTGGTAAATAAACAGGGCGCAAATGCATTTAATGCTCTTAATTGTAATGAAAATTAATTTTTATTGGCGCGCTGCTTAAAATGCAATTGAAATGCATTCAATTGCCATCAACGGAAATGCATATTATTAGTGTTCATTTGTTTTTCTTTTTATTTATTTTTGTTTTGTTTTTTTTTTTTTGTATCATTTTTATTAGTGAAGCGCCGGCAAGTAATTTCCAGTTTATGGCGTGAAATATTAATTTGCAGCTTACCCAGAAATTTATTACTGCTACGCTTTTAATTCATACACAGTTTTATATTATAATAATAATATTAATACAATTATGTTGTAGTTATTGACAGACCCTGGGCCACATGCAATTTTTGTTATTTCCGTTTAGATTTTGTAGATAATCAAGAGCCGCACTATCACAAATTGCCCATTGCAAGAGCCACAGTATTTTTTAATCACACTATACTACAACACAAGTGGGTGTGTGGCGTGTGTGTGGAAACTTAATTGCGCTCGATTTGCTAACTGCGAAGCCAATGCGTCGGTTGGAAAAACAAACTGCGTCAAGTAATTCACTTAGAACGAGAGACGTGACGCCTCGATTTTAAATGTTCATGTGATACAATTTATATTAAATATATAAATTCACGTAAATGTCAATTCGAACGATCGCAACGGAATGCCCAGCAACCGCACAAGGAAAGCGCACAGAAGCAACTGATGGCTGCGTGTAGCCGTTTTTTGGGCCGGCAAAGCGTAAACGCTTCTATTGATTCCTCGCACACACACGCACACAAATCCACTGGCACAGGCATAAACAAAGGCTGGTGCGCGCACACAGACAACACACACACATACACAGATAGAGAGCGAGCCGCAAAGCAGCGCTGTTTATCGTGAACGCCAAGCGCAAGAATACGCATACGTCAGGTGGTACAAGCAAACGGCAAGCAAAAGCAGGTGCAGCTATATCTTAATCAATTTTCGCAATGAACACCAATAAAAATCACATTGCGGTAAACAACAACAACAAGAACCACACTGTCAGCTAGGAAGCTGGGCGTGTCTCTGCCTCAGAGCCGTCCAGAGTGCTGCGAAAGTCGTATTTATTTACCTGCCAAGCACCTGCACCTACTTTTATGAGTCTGTTGTCAGCTTTGATTGCAGACCCGAAAAATTGACTGATACTAACAAAAAATTGTGTTTATCATTTTCAATTTTCTTTCGATTACTTTTAGATAAAATAACCACAGCGATAAACAATAGATAAATAATTTATGAACAATAGATTTTGATTTTGTTTTGCGTCTGGGCATATTTTAATTTAATTAGAATGTTGCATAGTCCATCGAGCACGATTCTCAATGTTATCTGTGCAAAAACAAACAAGACTATCTTTATGTTAGGTAATTAAATGTGCCAGCCACATCTATATGTTTAATCAGTGATAAAAATGGGTCAACAGGCAGGGTTAGCATTTTAGAGAACAAAACCGGACTTGTTTTCTCTTTTACACACAATAAAACTAATTGCATTGATGGACTGACAAATACCATAGGCTATTAGGCATACAAATTTTGTGTTGTTTGGGAGAGTATATGGAAATATGGAATGCTCTGTTGCTGTTGCCCTGGAAAGTACAGGGTGCAGCAATCAACTGTTTATTAATATGTTTGTGGGCAATCAATAAGTGTTTCAATTGATATGTTTGATATCATTTATATTGATGGTGTTTTAAATGGCCATCCAGACAAATTGATCGAATAAATTTCCAATTGAATTGTGCTCAGCTGCTGATGGGAGTAATACCCAAATGACAACCTAGGCTAAGAGCTTGGCGCCACGCCCCGAACTGATATACATTTAATATACTCTAAATGATTTCACAAATATTTATAAAACTTACAGAGACGCTCGAGATCTGAAGAAGAAGCTTTAATATTTACGTGTCAATTGAATTAAATACAAACTAATTAAAGTAAATTTTGGCTATAAAACTCCGTCGCTGAAGCGTAAACTTGTGAAATACATACATCGACAAACATACACACATCTGATGACTTTGATATATTTAGTCTGCGTTTAAAGAGTCTTCTTATAGCAAAGACCAGTTTGTCGGCATGCTAAGTGCCTAAATAAATTGTTATTTATTTTATAGTATGCGATACATTAAAAATTTGCAAACTTCAATAATGCCACGCTTAGTTTCGGTATGTAAAAATGTCGCGATTGCAAATAGAACGAGTTAGAGTTTTTAAGACGAGAGGGCTCGACTAGGGAATACCCTAAAACTTCTTCTTCCAACGCCATCGGTTGCGTGGAAACGGGACCAGGAATCAAACTTGTGCTGCGCGGACGCTTGGAGGATCTACGTTCTAAATTTGAATAGAGTAAGACGGACGGACAGATAGTCGAACAGACAGTCTAGATTGACTAGACTTTTCATACTAATGAAGAATTTATAAAGTTTATCGGGTCAGACATGCTTCCTTCTGCCTGTAACATACTCTTGCAAAAAACCATAAAACCCTTTCTACCAATGTTTATTCTGGTTCAGGTTCTATAAAAGAAAACCCCGTCATTCCCGCTTACTAATTGATGAATTTAACAAATATATATACTAAGATATTAAGATTTTATCCTTTAAGAAATTAGCAATTCCTTTATATATATTCTTTTTACTTACCTGACCTTTAATGGTTTCTGTGGCTTGCGATTGCTCCATTCTCATCGATCAGCTCTGGAAGTGTTTGCATCATTAAGGGCCTGTTAGTCAAACGCATTAAATGAATTGCAATTATCCGTAAATTCCGCTTGAAAGCAGATCGCAAAATATTAACGAGCTTCTCGAATTGATTTATGCACAATAAATTACGTGCCCTCCCACAACCGGATCTGCATGTTTGCCTCCTGCTGCTGCTGCTAGAATCAAAATAAAGTGTGATATGATAATGATTTAAATCATTAATAGTCTGCGTTGCTCTGGTGCCTGGCACGTGCCATTGATAACGCATGTTAACTGGCTGCGAATTTGATTAGCTGTTGTCATGGGGAAGTATGTGGCCCGTTTGCGATACTGCAAAGGATGGACCATTGTCTATCACTGCTCCGCTAACAATTTGTCTTTGTTTTATGCATTCTAATAGGGTTGTTTAATTGACAGCAAAACATTTCAATGCCAAACTTTTATTAATTTCGATAATTTATCTTTTTCTTCTGAACTTTGTACGGATTTTAAGTGATTTGCACTCCCTACCGACTGCGGGCACGTGGCACTTTTTTATTAAATCAACTTCATGCACGCCCAACTCGCATAGATGCTAATTGGGTAAGCATGCCGTTTGAACACCTTTTAAAAATTGTTCACAGCTAGAAAAGTGTACAAAGACAAAAGCGAGCTGGGCTAATTAATAAAAAATTTTATTTAAAGCATAAAAAGTGTTTTATTTCTGCTATAAATTGATTTGAATTTTAAGGTACCCTCATTAAAAATGGTTTGAGATCTGAGTAAAATGAAAAGCAGTATAAGGCAGCTTTCAGCCTTTTGGCAGTTTATTCAAGAGGCGACTTTATTTAGCCAAGTCTCTTTGTCTATTCCTCACAAAGGGCCTACACTTAAGCAAGTTTTGCAGTTGGCCTAGAAACTATTCCAGGTATTTACAAGTCAGTAATTGGCTCTGCCAACTGAGCGACAGCATTCTACACCAACGGTGGCAATTCTCTAATGAGTCTCGACTGCTTAATGAGTTTCTACTGTCACTTAAACTGTCAAACTTGGAAAACTTTGTTGTTTTTTTGGCAGACAGCTGTCGACAATCAGTATGTGCAATTAACCAAGGGAATTTTCATATTTTTGGCTGCTTTTGACTGGATTAGCCAAAAGTCAGCTAACTGAATTGCAAACAGCTTGTATATAATTTATGGTTTTTATATTAAACCACGACACTTAAGCCGCTTGGTGAGCAGCACTTTAAGCAGTAAACGCTCAGAAATGTTGGCCAAGACTTTAGCCGACGCAAATTCTGTGGCTGCAGTCAAATTTATGAAGTGTTATGAAAAGTTTAAGACATTTAGCTGCAGGTCAAAAACTTTTAGCTGGCAATAGCGTCTGAATAAGCAATTGCTCTAGCCGGGCAGGACTCGATGGGTTGCTGTTAAGTACGTGAAAAGAGCTGCTTAAGTTCTTAAAGTCCCGTCAACTCTTGGGCTCACAAGTTTTACTGGTCCGCTTCGGCTTAGCACTTGTCGTTAAGGAGCAGGTGCATAATTGCGATTGCATTTTTAGCGCATTAACGAGAATTTAGCTTACATTTACGAGGGCAGCGCTAAAATTATGCCAGACAAATATTTGCACTTGTTGCCGCTGAGCAAACAGCCGTTTGCCCAATAATCCAACAACAAATTTTCATATGCATTAATCTGGCTAAATTGTTGCTGATGTTGTTTTTGTTGGTGCTTAATTAAAATGTTGTTAACATTAGATTTCAATGCGTGACGACGTTAATGCCGCTCGCCAAAATAAATAATTCCATTTCTTTATCATTTTATTTATTTTACTTGCGGCAAGCACGCGCTCTGCGCACTGTCAATTTTTTAATTATTTCTATTTGCCTTAAATGTGCGAGGGGCTGATGCCAGAAAAAAAATGCAAAAAACGAAGAAGAAAAACAATTTCTATAAACAACAACAAACTTGGCAACAACAATAATAAAAATCATTACAGCGGCAACATTGCGTATGCGCAATATTTTAGCTTAGTTCCATTTGATCATAATTTTACTGCAGCAGTGGAAAAAATGTGCGATTTCGGCTTCTTTTTTATAGCCACATAAATGTTTTAAACAATTTAGCGATAAATAAAATTCCGCACAGCATACGTACCGTTTTTTTCACATAATTTTTTTATGGGCGCCGCAGAAGGAAGAGTCGCATTCACTGAATGGAACCAGTTGGCGGCGGCAAGTAAATTTGCGCATTGATAGATTAAAGAGCTGATCGCGCCGTGGAATATTTTCTCGGGCATAAGTTATCTAGTTTTAATTGCAGTCATATGATGCGTAATTGTTGTATATTGACTTTGGCTCAGTTTAAACATAGGAAAAAATTCAAATTAACACCAAAGATTTCTTTGTTATTAAGAAATATCAGAAAAGTTTTCATATATATCTGCTGAGGAATGTAAAATATGTTTTTGTATGTACGCTTAAGCTTTTAATTTTGCTGTTGTGCATTGGCAAATAAAAAGCTTAAGCGTCTATAAATAGGAAGACTTTATGATAGTCGGAGAGCATGTACATATAAGTATACATGTACATAATTAGGTAGAGTTTATGATAGTCAGATACATATATAGTTTAGCTTTCTGACTTACCCTAAAGTATGTAGGTAAAGTTGAACCCTTAAAGCGTGACCAAATAGTTGAGTTGACCTTCAAATATGTTTAAGTTATGCAGATAACACATCAAACGCTCTTCATTTTTATTAACATATGTGGTATATATTTTATTTTGGACTCCATAACAAGAAAAATGATTTTGGCTTATCAACAAGAGACTTAAAATTGTCAACACCCGTTGCTTAAGGCCAAAATAAAAGAAAATGAAACTGAAAGTGGTAATTCGTGGGGGAAAACACGCTTCGTGGCTTTTTGTTTACATTTCCCCCACTATGCAGCTTGCCACAGCCTGACGAGACAAAAGAATGAAAATATAAACATGACTTTACTTTAAGCTAAGACGCAAGCGTAGCCGCCGCCGCCGCTGCCACAGCAGCTGCTTTATCTTATTATTATTATTTTGTATTATCATTTTTCTTGTTTGTTTCTTTTTTTTCTTTGTTTGTTTGTTAATGTGTGCGCCAAATTTGGCATGAGAAGAGGCACGCGTTCCAAAGTGCTGCATGCAGTCGGCTTAAGTTGGAAGCGGGCAATGCGGGCGATGTTTACAGTTTTGGTGTTGCAGTAAAGTGCATGTTGCGCTTTATGGGGAGGAGGGATGCTATTACGGCTGCTGCCGCTTGTTTTTGTTTTTAGTTGTTGATGTAGCTGCTTGCTGAGGCATGACAGTTGCTTAAGTTCTTAGCGGGCGTCTCTGTCTCTGTCTCCGTCTCTGTCCCACTGTTGCTGGCGCGCCTAGCCGTATGTCTGTCGTACTGCGGAATATGCAAGAGTGAGAGAAAAAACAATGCATATGTTTAATTTTAACAGAGTTGGCAACGCGAGCGATGACGAAAAACATGGCATATTTTCGGGCACCCGTGGATAATGCACGCCTTGTGCTTGGCATGTGAATGACATGACCGAGACAAGATGATTAAGACAAACAATTACCACACATTAAGCCCAGTTGCACACAAAAGCACATAATTATATGCACCCCCGAGGGGGATTGCATATGACACCACACGGAATGACACATTACAGCGTGCAATTGGGCGTAACCCAGCACCGATTACAATTTCATCATGATGTGACTGAAAAGAGAACTGACAGCGGGCTATAGAATATTTTGTTAGATTATTAAAATGCTGCTTAAATTAAATTAGTAGACATTAGAGTTTTATTGCTAGTTGATTAGCATTAAGCACACGTTATATACAAAGCAGAGCAATAACAACAACAAACACAACAACAACAATAACAAGCAGACAAACGCATTAGTCATAGCCACGATACCCGCCATAGTTGCTGCGATCACGATAGTAATCGCGCTCCCTGGCCGGCGGCAGACCAAAGCGATCGGTGTCCTGGTAATAACCATAGCCACGATAACGCTGGCCGCTATACTCTGGCTGCCAATAGCCCGCATATTGTCTTAAGCCGCCATTACCTCCATAGCCGCCGTAGCCTGCAGTGCCCAGTATATTGGTCGTCGGATAGTAGCCGCTGCTGGGATAATAGCCACTGCCTCCCGTGCTGGGATAATAGCTACCGCCCGTGCTGGGATAGTAACCACTGCCGCCCGTGTTGCCATAGTAGCCGCTGCCGCCATTGTATGTATTGCCGGGATAATAGCCAGTGCTGGGATAGTAGCCATTGTTGGGTCTATTGTAATAGCCAGTGTTGTATCCATAGCTGGGATAGTTATAGCCATAGTTCGGATAACCAGAACCCTGTCCAAGTAAACCGCCCAAGTTCAGCACTTAAGGGCCCGTAACGAAAAGTTTCAGGTAAAGCCAATTATATATGTGTAGTTGCTTACGTTTGGCTGAGGTTTCAGCAGTGGCCAAATCGCTCGCCTTGGCATCCTGTGCCGCCGGCAATGGCTCAGCCCAGATCACAACGCACATGAGCAGCTGCGTTTCGACAAATATGCGTGTGTATGTAATACACTTTTTCGATTAACTGAGTTCTTTTTGTTGTTTTTTTTTTTTAATACTCACTAAAAACGGCAAACACTTGGCATACATGCTGAAAGATACTTTTTGACAAATCGTATAAACTGCAAATGGAAAGGTACGTTTGACAGCGGCACCGTAGAACGCGCGAAGAGACAACTGCTTGACACAACGCTTGTACGTTAAATAATTCTGTTTCCCAGACGGGGGGCCAATTTATATTTTTCATTTTCCGGCTGAGTTGCTGCGCTCAAGTCGACGCAGACGTCAACGTCGCCGAAACAAACAAACCGAAACAATAATAAAGCTTGGCCCCAGCACCAAGTCGCACTTCGAAGACCAGCTAAAACGTGCGGCTACGTTAATTTTATTACTCATACGACACGTAAAGCAAGTGCGGCCCCAAAAAAAAAACAGAAAATCTTCAAAAGCTGTTACGTTTTCAGGGCTGACAGCCATCTATCAAACTAAAATGATATTTTCTTTAACTGAAAAATTAAAAGCAAATCAAATATACAATTATTTGTAAGCTCAGATATGTTGTGATTAAATACAAAATATTTCTAGCTATAAACTGTGCCCGCCTAGTCATGTTTTTTTTTTTCTAATTCTTGTGAATTATGCCTTGTTTAACCTCAAATTAAACTGTACTTACGACCTTTTGGCTGTGCGATTATGTATTATTATTAATATTTGTCTCGGGCACAGGTGACAAAATAAATGCCTCATTTTGGCTGTCTCTTGTCGCTTGTTTGTTGCCAGTGCGTGAGTTTAATTTAAGATATTTGCGCTTTAAACTTTGACAAACACAAACAGACGAAACGCTGGAAATCGTTTTGTATAACTTGGTTCACACAGATCGCTTTCTTTCATGTGGACCGACGGAAGTTTTTTTTAGGAGAACTCCAGACGATATGCAAGTGCCCAAATTGTTTGCCTACTATATCTTTAATTCCAATTATCCACACACACACTCATAGAGACAAATCTGCGGCAGGGGCCAAAAACTTGCGCCGCGTATGCAAATATTTGCCAGCTATTCTTGTATTTTTTTTCTCAATTTTTTCTTTGTTGCCACTCTGCTAACGGCTTTTGTTGCCATAGGGCGAGCCGAAAAATAATAGCCAAAAACTTCAGAAGATCCCAAAGCGCCTGAGCCCATGTATTTAAAATTCGTTCAGGTAACGTTAAGGTGTGGCGACTAATTGGGCAATTTTGATAGAAGTGCGCAGGATATAACCGACAGGAAGCGACACGCGCTGAGAATAGCTGCTGCTATTTGACGACCAAAAAATATTTATATATATCCAATCCAATTTTGTATGCTGCTGCAACGCATATCTGCCAAGTTCAATAGGGCGGCTTCAGCTTATGCCTACTTTATCTTATATCTTAGCGTATATACATAACCTCCATGCATATCTTTTTTAACACTAGCGAAACGTGTGAACAATATTTGGGCTTGTGCTATGCGGGAATTACAAATTTTCAATGTTGACTTGACACAGTCGTAAAATATGAAATACAAAAACTGGGTTACGTAGCCATTATTCAAGGTGAACAGAATGCATAGACATAATACAAATTGGTTCCCTTAAACGTATCTTAAAGGTTTTCTCACATTACGTACGAGCTATTACTAGAAGTCAGATATATCAAACAGAATTGAAAAGAAATAAAAAGGCCTTTTATGAACTTGCAGAGCAAGTAAATAAAATGAAGACTTTTCATTGGACTTTAATCAACTTGTTTTCAATTTACTTTGAATGCCAATTGATTTTTGATCCAGTCTTATATTTGTTTATAGCCCAAGACAGCCAAAAACATATATATGTTTCCTCTTAAGCATATTTAAATAAATGATTTTCATTGGTTGTACGAATTTTATGCACAACGAACCGCTGTAAAAACAACAAGGAGCTCAGCTCTTTGCAGATTACAGAATATTAGATACGCTCGCTCAAATTTTTATTTTATTTAATATTAAATTGAAACATTATTTAATATACCCTTTGTTAGGGTATCGCAAGTCGAAGCTGAAGCCCGAAAAGTTTTTCAGGTTATGCAAAACCAACCATTGTTAACATAATTTATGTTAAATTTGTAAGAAAAAAGTAATTTTCAAAATTTTGGTTAATTCTCAGTAATTGTTGTACGATGCAAAAGAATGTACGTCTACGTCTGGCTCAGAGTCCAGCTCTTTGGCAAAAAGGTCTTGCATATATTGCAGTAAGTTAATTTATTCATTGCATACTTTATGGCGCGGTGTAAATAATATTTGGTGGCTTCCCATGAAAGAATGGGGCAATTAAATTTAATCATTGATTTTTCTTACATTTTATTTAATTTCATAATTTCTGTTTAGACATAACAATTCATTTCTCCGTTTCAAGCATTTTAAGTATAGAAATTAAATAAACTATCAACTAAAATCTAAAGAAAGTGAACAAAATACAGATTAATACATTGAAATACAAAAATGCATAATAAACAACATGTCACAAACAATTTAAATTTCCACATCGTTTTTCATAGTTTTTTTTTTTTCTTTCTTTTTAGCCACATGTGCAAAATGCATACGAAAAACATTTAAGAAAATGATTTATCAGAGGAAGTTAGAGTCTTAGTTGACAGGAAGCTTGGAGTGCATTTCGAGTACAAACACAAAAGCAAAATTATTATGTTTTTTAAAGAAAAATAAAAGAACACATTCAACGGCAGTTATTAACTTTTTTTCTAGTTTCTTTCCATTTTTTTCATTTTTTTTATCCTTTCCTGGCTGAGAGTATTCTCGTTAATAAAAACACTTAGACTAAAGCTGGTTAACTGGCAATTGGGTTAGTTGAGGTGCTGCGGGTTGGGGAGTAGTGCAGGGCTTTCGGGCGGTGCTGGGAGCTGGGAGTTGTGAGCGGGAACTGGGATTTTGGGTACTTTCGGTGACGTCCAGACGTCAATTGTGCTGTCTAGGTCGTCGTCGGCTCTTAGCTTTGACTTGCAGTTCCAGCAACGGCTGCCTCAGCCTTATCCTCTACAGGCGCGGCAGCTTTAGCAACGGGTGCCTCAACCTTGATCTCGACGGGCGTGGCAGCTTCAGCTACAGGTGCCTCAGCCTTGTCCTCTACAGGCGCAGCAGCTTTGGCAACGGGTGCCTCAACCTTGGTCTCGACGGGCGTGTTAGCTGCAGCAACAGGTGCCTCAGCCTTGTCCTCTACAGGTGTGGCGGCTTTGGCAACGGGTGCCTCAACCTTGATCTCGACGGGTGTGGTTGCTTCAGCAACAGGTGCCTCAACCTTCACTTCTGCAGGCGTGGCAGCTGCCGCTACAGTCTCCTCAACAGCCGCTTTTGCCTCGACAGCATCGTCAGCCTTAGTTTCGCGTTTTTTATGGTATCTGTCCAGATTCTGTGTGCAGGAGCATGGGCACATGCATTGGTCCTTCGGTCCGGCGCCGGCGAGAATCGAGTGCACACTGAAGCTGTTCGGTATGGAGGCTGGCTGTACGCCCAACGGGAAAGGATCAATACTCTGATATTTGTTGGCCGTCTTAATGGTGTTCTCATCGCAGTTGGCGTAGTACTCTTGTGGCAGTATGACCACTGGCATGAAGGCGATCACAGCACCCTTGGGTATCTTGTCGGGTGGATAGAAGGCTGGCTGGCCAGGTGCCTGCGGCACGACGGGCAATTGGGTTAGTGACATGGCGTTCATTATGCTGCCGAAATTCGTGTTTCCATTGAAGCCGTTGAATTGTTTATTAAAGTCGACCGAGGCCGGATTTGAGTTGGGATAGGTTGTGGAGGAGGTATAGGTTGTTTTTGATGAGTGCGTCTTATCGGCATTACAAACGCAGGTTTCGCTGTTTGGCGTATACGACGGCACATGCAATGGGGGAGAGGGACGTGGAGTTACATTCTTGTTGATGGGCTTGGGTTCAACGTAAATGGTTTTCGTCGGTTTCGGTTCGGTCGGGTAAATGGGTGGTCTGTACGTCGGTGCTGGCTCAAATGGCCTCGGCGTCGATGGCTTGTATGCCGGTACATTGATCGTTGTTCGTATTGGTTCGATCGGAGCCGCCGGCGTCGGCTGTGGATTGTATGTGTTGACAAAGTGTGGCTGTTCTGGCTGTATCGGTCTATATGGCTTGGGTGCGGGTGTGGGTACTGGTGCGGGTGCGGGTACGATTGGTACTGTCTTATGGATATCAAAATTACCCGTTGTTACTTTTGTTGTAATGCCTTTTACTGGTCTATCCGTATTAATAGTGATAGCCGGGACCTTTGGCTGTGTTATCGTCGTCGTCGTTATTGTTTTGGTTGGCGGTCGTGGTGTGGGATTCGCAGGAACATGGATAGGAACGGTATTTGGGAAAGAAGGTGGAATATAGGTTAGTGGTGTTTTAGTTGACGACACTTTCTTAATCACAGAATTATCGTAATTATCGTAATTTGGCTTGAAAGTTGGTGGCTTATTGGTCGGTTCTTTGACTAGTGAAAGGGATGGGGGTGGTACGATTTTACCCGGTTGATTTGGCGGCAGGTAACCAGGTGTCTCCTTGTCCGAATGCCTGGGATCGTTCGGCTTGTATGTCGGGCCTAGAAAGTGCAAAAAATATAAAAAATGTCTTAATTTGTACATAAACTATGGTTAGTTCTACTAACCGGGTGGTCCGGGACGAGTTGGGCCAGGTGGGCCAGGAGGGCCTGGTGGTCCGGGACGTGTTGGGCCATAAGGACCGGGTGGTCCTGGTGGGCCCAACTCTGCGTGTCCTCCATTAGCTGGTGGTCCTGGTGGTCCGGGTGGGCCTGTAACAGATATTTCGCGATTAGTATTGAAAACATAATACTAGTTTAGATCAATCTTGTTTACCGCCTGGTCCCTTGGGTCCTGGACGATCGGGTCCATTAGGTCCTGGTGGTCCTATATTGCCGGAAAGCGCATTTCATTTATACCATTACCCAAAACCCAAAAACTTTTGGTTTTTTATAACTTAAGCTTAACTTAAACATACCTGGTGGTCCGGGAGGGCCGGGTGGGCCCTTGGGTCCCTTTGGTCCTGGAATAAGGTAAGCGCAGTAATGTAAGATTCACTGTAATACTTGACAAATGCCTCCAGCTTACCGCCAGGTCCATTGGGTCCGCCGGGTCCGTTTGGTCCACCAGGTCCGTTGGGGCCAAATCCTCCGGTACCGCCACCATCGCCATTGCCTCCATTGCCGCCATAGCCGCCCTCGGGTCCAACTACATGCACATATGGTGGAGCTGGAGGTCCAGTGGGGCCTTCAACATGTACATATTTGCCAGAATCATCGTGATAGTATTTTCCATCGTTAATACCTAGATCATGTAATTGACTCGTTAGCAAAAATCCGACAGATTCTATATATCTCGCCTTACCATTATAACTTCCGCCTCTAGGGTTATTATATTTACCGGCTCCTATAGGGAATAAAGAGTAATGTGATGCAAAGCATACGATTATTAAACTTGTAAGGATATGTATAAAGAGATCGGCTGATTTTCGACTCGAACTACGTATACATAATGTAACTACGAACTAACTACGAATTACAGTGCGTACATAGTGCTACATACACGGGTAGGTGCTACAAAGAACATTTTGATAGACCTACATATAACTTACAACTACGGGGGATTTGCTAAGATACCAAACACCAATAACTAAAATACATGCGAAAACATCATGCGTTGGGTAATCAGCTTGATATGGGTTAATTACAACGGTTAAACTAAATATCAAAATAAACCAAAATACCAAAAAATTAGTTAGTTAATCAATAACCCGTTAGTAATATTGCTCAAGCAGTTTTGTATGTGGGCGTGTCAATGTGCAGGGTAAATAAATAATTATACAAATGTGCCAAGGTATCCGAAAAGTGAGTAATACGCATGTTTGCATGTGTGCATGTGTGCATGTGTGCATGTTTGCATGTGTGCATGTTTACGTGAATGCATGTGTGCATGTGTGTGGAAGCGTGCGCTTCCTGAGTAAAAGATGTATAGTTCTCGTGCATGAACGCATAAGTGAGAAAGTAACTGAAAAATATGTGTAAGTGCGTAGTCTCTCAGCCAAATGCTGAACTGAGAAACAAAACAGAAAACGATGATACAAAGAAAATAGAAATAATAATTGGCTTTGCCTTTGATCAAAAACCGATTTGGCCTTTGATAGCAGATGGAAAAGATGGATACAGTACAAAGACAGAGATATATATAAGTAAACAGAGAGTGAGAGAGAAAGAGAGAGGGAGATAGACAGAAAAAGAGGTAGAGATAGATAAAGAGAGATTTATTGCTTGATTGTGCGCTCTTAGCAAAAGTGCTCTAATAACGATAAAGATAACTATGTGGGGGAGGGTTTGGGAGGTGCCCTAAAGTTGCCCTGCTGTGTGGTGTGTGCCTGAGTATTTAAAATTTGTGTGTTTTTTAAATAATAAAAAGAGGTGTGTAACAGATATTAAATTGGTTTCAGAGTTTCTTGGCTGAAAATAAAAACAAGACTGCTTAAAATAAATCATAAATAAATGTACATTAGCATAATAAAGGCATAAGATATATAATTTAAATGAAACTTAGAGCTAGGCCAGCAAAGCAGCGTAAAATTTGAACAAACCGCTTGCGTATGGGGCAGCATATTAAATAAAAATAAAAAAAATAGAGAAAGAAAAATACCTGTCAATTGATTTACTTTAGTGGCGACCCCCCATAACCGCTCAGCGGCTCGTTCAAATTTTGATTTTGTCTGTGCGGCGGCGCAATTACAAATCGCAAGTGATCTAACCTGAAGTGTATTTGATGGCCCCAGGAAAACCGGTATTTGTGTCTGGAGTGTAGGCACCATTATTGCCGTTCTGGTTGCCGTTATAGCCGCCATTACCGCTGCCCGGGCGGCCACCGACGCCGCTGCCAGTATTGTAACTGGCGCCTGGACGGTTACCATCACCGGCACCTGTATTGTAACCGGTGCCTGGACGGTTGCCATCACCGGCACCTGTATTGTAACCGGTGCCTGGACGGTTGCCATCACCGGCACCTGTATTGTAACCGGCGCCTGGACGGTTGCCATCACCGGCACCTGTATTGTAACCGGTGCCTGGACGGTTGCCATCACCGGCACCTGGATGGTTGGCATCACCGTCATCGATGTTGCCACCATTGCCAGGGCGATATTGGCCAGCACCGCCCAGAGGGCCAGGACCGGTGGCATCACCGCCGCCAACACCGGAACCTTTGCCGGGAGGATAGACGCCAACACCGCCAGGGCCGGAACCGCTGCCGGTGTGGTAAGCGCCACCATCACCAGATCCGGTACCAGTGCCAGGACGGTATTTGCCACCATCACCTTGGCCGGAACCATCGCCAGTTTGGTATCTGTCACCGCGACCAGCGCCGGAACCGGCGCCGGTTTGGTATTTGTCACCGCCACCGACACCGAAACCGCCGCCCGGGCCTGTGGCATCTCCACCACCGATATTGTTGCCAGCACCGCTGCCAGTGCGATCGCCATCCCTATATACCGGTTTTCCTGAGGCTCCCGATCCCTCGCCGACTGGTCCCGGAGGTCCTGGTGGTCCGGGTGGTCCTTTGGGTCCAGGTGGGCCGTTGGGCCCATTGGGTCCATTGGGTCCGTTGGGACCGGGAGGACCGTTCGGTCCGAATCCTCCATTTGGTCCAAAGCCACCATTAGGTCCGAAGCCACCGTTTGGCCCGCTGGGTCCGCCATTGGGACCGAATCCTCCATTCGGACCAACTGGTCCTCCGTTGGGACCGAAACCGCCATTAGGGCCGGTTGGTCCTCCATTGGGGCCAAAACCGCCCTGGGAACCCACAACATGTTGATAGCGATTATCTTCTGGATTGTACTTTCCATCATCTGAAACACAAAGATTTGAATCCGCCACAACACCGCGTGCTCCCAGACAAAAGCTCACTGCCGGGTCTAAGAGATGCCACCGAATGGAAGGACGGAGCCTGAACGCCAGGTCCCTCGTTTGTGTGTCCTTCGTTTGTGTTGAACAAGCCCTTCGGTCCTTGCTTGTGAATGGGCAAACTCTTCTGGCCCTCACCCTTCAGTACAGGTATGTTAAACGAGGAGAGCGATGAGCCAGATGTGCCAACGCCCTTGTTCTTGTTCTAGAAATACGATCGCACATAAGTAGCTGTCCGGGTGATCTCACTGCGTCTTCTTACATCATCCACTACAAAATAGGGTATGTCATGGATGGCACCGCCCTCAAACTTGCCGCAGCCAATGGGAAAGTAGAGTTCGTGCCACTGCAGCAGGATGCCAGGTTTGGACGGTCCACCGTTCGTCTCATTGTACAGACCGGGCGGGAAGGTCTCCACTGGTTTCTCCGGCTCCACAGTGCGGTAGCCATGCACATCGGCCACATAGTGTGTGGCGCGCAGCAGATGATAGGGATCGATCAGACCATAACAGCCATAGGTGACGCCATCAGGGCCACGCGTCTCGTGATGGAAGTTTCCAGTCTTACCGACATCGTAGCCATAACGATAGGCGTCTGAAGTATTTTATGGTTGTTGTTGTTGTTGTTGTTGTGTTGGATTGGATAAGGTTTTTGGTTCGGTTTGGATTTGTTTTTTTGTTGGAGGGGGTTTTTGTTGAAAGATAATGTTTTTTTTTTTAGAGTATAACGTTTTGTTGTTGTTGTGATTGAGAGTTTGAGTTGGCTGAAAATTGTGCTGTGAAATTTGCTGTAGAAGTTTGCTGCACCTACTCTAAGACTGCCTAACATCAATTTATATAGCCTGCTTCTGGGCGCTGTAACTGTAAGAGTTGAGGATATGCCTACATATCGTACATATGAAATTGAAGAGAAGAGAGAGCGAGAAAATGTCTTGTGGTGTTTTCTTGTGTGTTGTTTGTTTTTATTGTCATTGGGTGTATATATATATTTTTTTGTTGGTTTGATTGTGTGGGGTAGGTTTTGGGCTTAATATTGGATAATGGCGAGGAGAGTATGAGTATGCGAAGCCTTTTTAATTTTTTTGTATTTTATGTATAACTTTTTCCACTAAGAACAAAATAAATACATAAAAAATATATAGAAATATATATATATATAAGAGAGAGAGAGAGAGAGTGTGTGTATGTGTGTGTGAAAGAGAGAGAGATAGAGAGATTAGAGCGCAAAAGAGAGGATAGATAGAAGATAGAGCGATTTTGTTGTTGATTTTTGAGCATATATACAATTTGACTACGATTTCTACGGTGAGTTTAGTAAAGCTGAGCTACAAGGGTAAAAAATAGTAAATTATAAAAAAGACAACTACGATAGATAGTTTGTTGTTTGTTGTTGTTGATTGTTTGTTGTTGTTGTTGTTTCGTTTGATTTTCGATTTCGGTGTATTAATGTGTAAGTTTTGATCGAAACTGCTGAAGTTGTTGGTTTGGGGGCGGGTAGGGACAAGACGATAACTTAAAGCTACTCAATAATACAAGAATAATATAAATTGGGGCAACTACTTAAAAACAAACAAATTACAAAATACAAATCGAGCTACTTGGTAAAAATACGATTAACGAGTTACAGGGCGAAACGATGTACACAAAAACTAACAAACTGTATGAATGGTTGTTTTTTTTTTTTTCAAATAGATTTAGTCGTTATGATATAGATTGGATACGATGATACAAATTTCAAACTAATATATTACAATTTAAATGTGTGGGAAGACAAATTTTGATATAATTTCAGAATTCTTTTCGATTTTTTTTTTTTCAGTTTTGATGTTTTCAATGTGATCAAGCGTATGTGTTAAATTGATAAACGTCATTACTTACTTGTGTCAAAGTTTGAGGAATAATATTGTTGGTTCGTTGTCTTTTGATCATTGATATCGACAATCAGACGTCGATTCTCTGCATCAAATTTTGCAGAGTAAACGCATTGCAACCAAATGCAAGCGACGACCTGCAAATGAAGGGTAAAATAAGTATTATATAATTTGGTAAGATATAACATACATATCAATAGCCTAATGAGCAGCTGTCAAGTGGCAATAGTGGCATGATAAATGTGAACGCCTTATTGTCAGTGCAATGTCATGCAAGACACGCCCACAACTTTTGCTTTTAACATACAAATTTTTGTCTCTTTGGCGTATTGACTTAATTTACATAGACCACAGCGAGCGTGTCAGATGACTCAAACAAAGATGCCTCAGTCAAGGCAGTTAGTCTGAGAGCTCAGCTTGGCACTGGCTTTTGTTGTTTCTGTATTCAAATCAGCCAACCATTTAGATCCGGTTCGATACGTTTAGTTTGCAAAATTAAAGCAACCAAATAATGCCCAAAAATGCCGCTCATATAGGCAGGCAAAATGTCAAAGGCGTTAAATATATATATAAATGGGTATGAGTATTTAGTCGAATTCTTGTTTTCAGTCAAGTTTTGCCCGTCAGGCATCAGAAAGATGACAATCATTTTGTTGAACTGGAATTGCGGTGCTTTTAGCTGCACCTACTAAGTCAAATTTGTGCGCATTTGTCGCAGCAAATTGCTGCCACGCTGCATGAGCAAACGTAGATACATTTGTATCTTTTAGCCGCTTGCGCATCCGTCAGCTACGCATAGTCTGCGAAAAATGTCAGCGCCAGCAAACCAGTTGATTTTACTAGCTGTGCTGACAGCTATGCTCAATTAGCTTAGATATTAATGCACTGTAAGGCATATTGAATGACAGTCAAATCAATGTAAATTGAATTGCCTTTATTTCAAGAGGAAGAGAGAGAGGCTGTCTGCGTTGATTTTGCAAGACTTGTGCCCACTCACTTTTTACCCAAAAACCCAAATTGAAAATAACCTGAAAACACGTATCTTTCTTGCGTATCTACGAAATGAAAATTTACATATTTTTAATCAGATAGTACATAACTTAACTCGAGTTCCGGCAATGCTCAACAAAAAAGAAAAACTTCCTTATAAAGAAACCAGTTCCATAGTATTTTTATGTTGAACAAATATCTAGATACTAATATTGTAGAATTCATTAAGCAATAATTCTTAAATATGTCTCTTAATAGACACTACTCGAGGCTACCAAGAGCTACAAAATTTGGCCACTGACCTTGGCACTAAGCTAAATAATTTATTAGTATTTACACGTGTTTTTTTTTTTTTTTGATGAATTTATTAGATAATTTGTTTATTTGTTTAACTGTTTTCTATTGTCTTTTACTACAAATTTGTATCTGCCATTTTATACAAAATAAATCGACAATTTTTGGGCGCGACTTGGGTGCGTTTGGGTTAAGGTTACCAGAAAAGAAAACTGAGAAAAAAAATATGAAATATGTACAGAAAACAAAGATATAAATTGGTAACGCCCAGCTAAATGCAGCTGTAAAAATGCAACTAATACAGTTTTTATTATTTATTTATAAATTATGGTTATTAATAATCCTCAAGCGTGGACAATCACGTTTAATTGTCAGACTTAATGCCCGTAAAATTAATGCCAATGAGCCAAAAATTTGAAATGCGATAAGGTCAATAATTTGATATAGCTTATATCAATATCAAACTGAATATGCTTCGCAGCTCACGTCAATACAATGAAAAGCAAAAACGAAACCATTTGAAGGAGGCTGAACTCGATTTGCTCGACGCACACTCAAAGCCTGAGCACCAGCTAAAGCACACACACAAGAGCCAATGGAATCTCATTAATGCAAATTTGTTTTAATGGCCGAGCCAACGAGGCTGGAAACTGAGTTGTAGCTAAATTATAATAGATTCCGATTGTTGCAAAATTCTTCGGCAATCAATTCATAAACATTTATGCAGCTGATGCTGGCTATCAAGGTGTCGGCTACCTGTACGCCTGCTCCAAAATCTCCACAAATCAAAATAATCATATAACCAATAATCATATAATCATATTTTATAGTTTCTTTTTTTTTTAATTTTTAATTTGTGTTCATTTATTGCAGCTGCTGACAACGGAGGTCGTCGTGTCACCCACATATCTAGCGGCAACTTTAACGGTTTCTGTTTTGACTACAATTTCTTTGATGGGGCATCAATGTCCGTCGCTCTTCCTCTTGTTGCACACACATGACTCATTTACAACATTGACCTTTTTACCAAAAGAAATGAATAATGTTGTAGCGAAAACTTTTCGTCAGATTTACAAAATTTCATCTATGAAATTTTGCGAAGTTTTACCTCAGCTGCGAGCGGGGCTCATAAATATGCGTTAAGCAAAAATTAAAGAACTTTAAATTAAATATTGTTAAAGCTTTACAAACTTTAACGAGATTTTAAGCGAAGCTGATTGATGTGACGGAAAAACTGGGCCAGTTTAAAGCTGTTTTAAACTTGTTTAACAAACTTTAAGCTTGCACTTAATATATTTTTCAAATTATTTTCAAGCATCTGTAAAGCATATTAAAATGCAAAATTGATCAGAAATTGCATTAATAAAATTTGCAAATGGTGAAAATAAATTAAAGCTGCGGGATATTATGGCAAACTTCAATCAACTAGCTCTCATACGCGCACACATCATAATTGAGTTAATTAATTGGCTAACCGCGCCCATCTATTGCCACCCACATGACTAATTACCCAGGCTTTAAGCCATTGAGCTGTCGGCATTGGTAAAAGTAAAGCACAAAATCGTTTGTTATATTTAATTAATTATTCAGGGACTGGCAGCTACCGCACCCCAGCGGGCGAACTCTTGTGGCATGCCCCAAATCTCGGTTGGCTCATATGTAATTCATGCATGACGCAAGCAGTCAAATCGCATTTCAAGTAAAATCAATTTTAAAGACAATTTAGTTTTGAATGCACAGTTGGCATGTGGGCCAGTTGGCAACTGGCAGCTGCGAGTGGCAAATGCGTCGATGAAGCGCGAATAAGCGGCATTTAAAAGTTCATTTTGCCGAGGTGCGTGCAACATCCAACATGTTCTGCTGCTCGTATATCATTCAAGCCCCAGCTCGCCTCAACAGTTAAGACATTGGCAAGCATTATTGACTGTGTCGTATGTAGCAAAAGGCGGCTGACCCAAAAGTTCTGCCAGTTCAGCCTTGTCTCGCGGTCTCAAAAACCATTACAATGAGCTATGAATCTTGCATAGTTTTTTTTTTGCATAAGTTGTCAGACATATCGAGAGACAGCTGGGCGTTCCAACAGAGGCAGCGGGCCACCATACCATATGCCATCTACATATATATACACTACATATTAATCGAGTTGTTCGCACGCACAGTCGTTTGTTTACATGGCAAGCTACAACCACGACTTGCCAACATCATCATCATCATCATCACAATCGTAAAGATCAACGTAATAATGAACATAATCCATGATATTCCAAGTTTTCTCGGCCCGTTATAAAACTGGTTTCAATTTCAGCATCGTTTGCTTGCCCTTTTAACGTCAACGAAATCTTTTATACATATCTTCTCTCTCTTCATTTTTTTGGGTATCTTATGGACTTACACTTCAAGGTCAATTGGCATCTGGTAACTGTCGCTGAACAAAACTGCCAACGACAATAAGAGCCAAGAAATATGTTTATCATAAAATGCAACTGCTTTGGGCTGTGTCTGACCTTAATCGATGACAAGATTCATACGAAAAAAAAAAACAACAAAAACAACAAACAACACGACGACTGCATTTTATTGAAATTATTTAGCTGCAGTTCATAAATTTGGTTGTTGGGATTGTGAAATTTCGAAAAAGTATGCGTTGTGAAATGTTAAGCCCCTGAACAAAGCTTTACGTATTCAGTTCCATTTACAGATCGCAAAAACCAATCCGGCAACAAATCAAACGAAATATGAGCTAATGAAGCTCAAACAGACATTCTTTATTGGTAACAAAAGTTCTAGCAGTTCAATAAAAATGCAAACAAAAAAACAACAAGTCTTACCAGCTTTAGGCGATGGCCTTTTTTTGGGTTTTTCCAGTTAATCCAGACACTGATTTAATTAGCGCAGAATTTGTTTGTCAAATACAAATTTGTATTAAGGAATAGCGCTAATAAGTTCATTGATATCATCGAAAGTCACAGCGGCTGACAAAGTGCAGTTAGCCAAGACATTGTTTATAGAGTAACATTCGCCAATATATATATATATATATATATATAGAAATATATATATACTCGAACGGTTGACACTCGCCTTAATTGTTGCATTTAAACAAAGGCTATTCAGGCCTCTAATTAAAACAAGCCCAAGCTGACATCATGTTTGCTGGCCACATATTTTGAAACCTACGCAAACGCATATACTATATAGTTTTGGAGTTATTTATTATGCAAATAACTTTTACTTTCTTTAAGCGACTTTTGACATTTGCTCAGGCTACACACACATATATCAAATGTCTTTTACGTATATCGTTTTCGTTTTTATTTAAACGAGAAAACCTCAATATGAGCTGCACACACAGCCGTTTCTTTGTTTTGGCTTTAACTATTTGCGTTTTGTGGTTTTTTTTTTAATCGCTGACGAATATCAAAATCTAATTTGCATTTCTAGATTTTTTATTATAGATATATGTGCGATAACAAATTTTGCGCGCTTGCCTTTTATTAGCAATACTTCGAATGATGAGCTAACAAAAGTTCATAGACGGAGACCTTTAGGAGCGCCTTTTAAATGCCATATTGAAAGTGAAGAAATTTGCGGCCATCAAAAGTGAATGTGAACTCAGAACAAAAGATTGCAAAAGTGAGCTAAGCGTAGAAAGTGAAATACATTAGTCGAACATAGTTTGACTAGGACAAATCAACCTCAGCTTAAGCACAATAAATCTAAGAAAATGCGTTTGCAATTACCAATAAATACACTTTACAGCTGTGAACAATTGTAAAAAGCCAACCGTCTATAGACCCAAATAGAGCCCATAAAACTAGCTCCCAGCCTATTTGGCATGCTAAGCACCTGGCTAGGCCGTCGACTTTTACGAGTCGCATAGAATACTACCTTTGCAGATACAAATACAAAACACTTGCTCGGCTGCCAGGGCAAGCTTGATGCTACAGTCTATCTAAATGCGAAATCTTTAAGTGCAGCGCGCAAAGACAAAAGACAAAAAGAAATTCCCGACATTTTAAAATTCCACTGTCAACTTCTGTTAGAGGAAATAAAAAACAAAACTCCAGTTGCCACAGCGAATCGCAGATGCTCTTGAAAGACATTTAGGTTCACAATCTTATAAACAATACGAAATTAGAAACATCCTGTCCACTGACAGAAAATTAACAAAAATTGTCGACGACTGTTTGCTTTTGGGCAAGAAATAACTTCCTGTGCAAACTGTACATAAGAAACATAAGTAACATGGGGCCAGGGCAATGCTGACAAGTCAGAGCGACGACCGCAAGCCAAACAAATTGGCCAACAAATTCCGCGTACGTGCCTGCAAGCTTTGGCCAAGATGTGTCCATGGGCGAACAAGAAATTGGCTCAGCAGACATTTGATGACGAACAGAGAAATCTTGATAAAAATAAATATATATGTGAAAAAAAGTGGGCATATATAACCCCACAGACGTACAGCAGGTCAAGAAACTGTGGCACGTGACAGGTGACAAAAAAAAAGGCGAACCCAAAATATTTGTCACCTAACTTGTCTAGGCTAAAGGTGTTACCGCTGCTGCTGCTGCTCATGATGATATCGCCGTGTGTTTTAGAGTGCCATTATGTCAGCTTCTTAAGGTATTTTGCTGACTACTTGTCATAAATTGTTGGCCAGCGTTTTATTAGACATGGCAACAGCTACCAATTGCTGATTTCATATGGAAAGGGAATGCATCTTAAAGCAGTCAGGTCGTGCTCAATCGTGCGGTCTCGTGTCACGTCTCAGCTAAAGTTCATTAATTTAAGGCGACCGCAGTTACAAGTTTTCTTCTTTGCAATTATAACAATTAGCATACGCCAGCGAAAAAGCTGAGCATTCTTAGAATGAATTTAGCGCAGTTTTTAATGAAGCATCAGAATGCCCTTGGAACAGTCGTGATGTGTCAAAAACTAAGCTAATAAATACATAATTATTATATGATCTCTATCATAGATTGTGCATCAAATAGAAATGACCGCTAACATTAGCCGGAACTGTGTTTTGGCATGCCTTCAACTTGGTCAACAACGCAATTGCCGATTTGCATAAAATTCAAAAAAGAGCAACAGATAAATTACTCACTTCGAACAAATGCCCAAAAAAACACAATAATTGTAGCTAATTTAATGACATTCGTATAGAAAAAAAAAAGAAGAAACATTTACTGCGCTTTTGTTCGATACGCAAATTTATTTCGATGTGATTTTTTACTGTCAGGCCGCATTTTTGTCAGCTGACGCAAACTTAAAAAAAAAAGAAAAAAAAGGAGGTACAAAATTGAAATCTCAGTAATTACAGTTTAGCAGCTGACCAAAATATACTACATAAACACCCAGACGAAACGGCATACAAGTTGTTTATATATATTGAAAAACTAGGCGAGACTTGGCGCTGTGTCTAAAACAAACAAGACTGCGCCGGCGTTTGTTTGCATTTATGAAAAAATGCCGGTTATTAACGCATACTTTGTTGTATTTGCCTAACACCTGGAAGAGTATAAATATAAGTATATTTTAAAAAATACCCAAGTTACAACTTGACCCGGACTTGAAGCTTAACCTGCAATACATGCCAAAAATATATGAATAAGTGCCTACCAACTTTGGCTGCAAATTAAGATTCGCAAATGTTATTTGATTTCTACAGACTGTGTCATAACCTCAGCCTTGGTTTTCGTGCATTTCCAAGCAAACACGGCCTGAACTCATATTTCGATTATTTATTTGCATTTCTCATCTACCAATTTTTAGCTAAGCGCTAAGTGTTAGTATGCACAGACGGGAATTTCAGTTTTGGCCATGACTCAAAACGGTAGCTGGGTGCCTATTAACGCATTACGATCGTAATAATATGATAATAATTACTTCATAAGATAGCTATGCAATTTTGTTTTATCAACATGTTGCTTGGACATCAATTAAGAGTTATAATTAAGATAAATTGAAGTTTTGATAATGCTGAATGCTTTATCATTAACAACTAATGTTTAGTTAAATGATTATTTATTTAATCTTAACTTTAAGCTTAACACTCACCATGCAAAAAACTGCACGCGCCATTTTGCAACGAACAATTGTAAATTGACACAAGAAACGCCAGTAATTATTTATTTATTTGCTTTTTTAACAAATTTTTGCAATTGAAAAATACTTTGTTATCCAAAATTCCAATCTTGAAAAATATATAAAGAAAATGAAGAAAATGTTTTTAAAATATATTTTTATATATTTTATTTAAGCACAATTATATTCATTTAAGCACACATGCAATTGTTGTCCTTCTGATTGAGTACAGTTTATTTGTTTTTTTTTGGAAATTCTTGATTCAGTTTAAGTTTGTATTTGCACTGAATAAGTTGAAGATCACTGTATTTACTTGGGGGGGAGGGAGCCTAACTAGAGCTCATACCGTGGTGACCGATGTGGACGAACTGAAGATGAACGCAGCTCGTCTTTGCCATATAAACAACGCAGATGAAAACAAAAAAAAAACTAAAAAAAATATATAAAGACCAAGACCCAACCTGAGAGTAGCGCCCCCCACCAATACAAATGAGTTTGGGAGCAGCTCCAGTGACAGTTGATTGTGTGTGTGTATGTCTTGCTAAAATATGGTTTAAAGTGCGTGCCAGTGTGTGTATCTGTATGTGTGTGTGTTTGTATGTGTGTATGTGTGGAAATGTGTGTGATTTGCGTAGCTCGAAACAAGTTTTGTATCGTCGCATTGGTTAATTTATATGGGCAAGAGCAAAGATGAGCCTAACTAAGTTGCAGCTGAGCACGGATCGTATACTCAATAAAATGCTGCTACTCTCTCTCTCTCTCTCTCTCTCTCTTCTTCTCTTTCCCTCTCTCTCTGACGCGCGCGGAGCCTGACACGGACAACCCCTACTTAGTTAGAGCGTGGACTTGCGTGTTTCAAGAATTCAGCTTCACTTTCAGGTTTTGTGCTTTATACAAAAAAATATTAAAATTTAAAGATTTATTCTTTTTTTTCCATTTTTTGCTAAAGAATTTATATATGTATATATATTTAAAAGTCTTTGTCTTTAATTGAAAATTCGGGTTTGTCGTGTTTATTTTGACTTAATTTTGAGCACTAATCGAAAACTGATCTATTGGCCATAGATAGCAACCATATGAGGCGGTTGTTGTTGCTGTTGTTTGGCTCTGCCTCAGCCGGTTATCAGACAGACTATTTGAATATTAAATGTGTGCAGTATCTTAAAAATAGTTGGTTAGTTTTGTTGATTTAATTAATGCTTACATAATAGCGCCTTTTTTGTTTTGGGCATGCAGAATGCGATTTTTTGATTTCCGTATGAATTAATTGTTTTCGTCGTGCCATAATTAAAATAAATTGCCAGCCATAGATCAGAATATTTTCTTAGCCACGCATCGTGTTGTTCCTTTATTTTTAATTTTGTTGTGAACTCACACGGTAGCTAACGCTGAGATCATATGGGAAATTGATTAGCCGAATCTTAATACATTTGGCTTAATTGAGACACCTCATAGACGACATGCTTCCGTTTGATGATCCGCTTAAGAATTTAGAATTTTGTGAGTAGTTGCTGAGCTGCAGCTGACACTAAGCCAAAGCAAAGGCATTGCGTATACGACACGTTGTACATATGCGTTATTATTACTTCGGGTAAAAGGAAACAATTAGCTAATGTTGATCGACTAGATGCGCTCAGTTGTTGCTCTTGAAAACTGTAATTGACACAGTTGCTAATAATAAGCTTTTGTCGTAAACAGGGTGAAATTAATGACAATGCTTAAGTCAAGGCAAAGTCAACCATCGCAGACAAAACAATTATTAAATTCAGATACATGTGAACAATAAAAAAGGTGTAAAACGACAAAATAAGGATACGTTGTTTCACGCCGAACATTCAATACTCTTGTAAATATTTCGCTTTTGCAAATATGTAATAAAGCTCGAAAGCTCCGCCGATCTTCTATATCAGCAATATGATACAGTGGGCCGATGTTGATAAGATTGGTAAGACTTCCTAGCTAGGTGAAGTTATCGTAATAAACAAAAAATGTGTTAATACAAGAGCCACTTTTGAACTAATCGTTCCAATGGCAGGTATATGAAAAAACAATATGCAATGTTTCAAGACGATAGCTTTAAGACTAAGAGACTAATTCACAAAGAAACAGACAGACCATTCGCTTTCTGGGCTCGGATATATCACACATTTAACCGACAAATTATAATACCCATTACAAGAGTATAAATATGAAACGATGCACAGCATGCAACTCCTTTGGCCCAGCAGAGGCAATCTGCATGGTTTACATTTTTTTGAATTAAATCGATATCTGTACGCAGCTGCCTCGTGGGCTTGGTCGCATGATTATAAGGCCACAGTGACATCTGTTGTGCACTACACAAAGAATATTGAAATGAATTTTCAAAAATTAAGCAAATAAGAGAGGTAATCATGAGTCATGCGAGTTGTTATTGCCTTAAAATTTATAATTTATAGTTAATTTCTTATTCACTTAGAAGTTGCTTAGCAAACAGCAATGCTCCACGTGTACAGCGTAGGGTTCACTTATTATTTTGCATTTCATATTTTATTTCTTTAAAATATCCGCTCATTTTTAAGCTAAAAATGAAATCTGATCAAGCGTAAGGCCCTACTTATATATTAAAATATTGATTTTCCAGCCAAGCTTAAGCTGTGCCTTAAAAATATTGAAAACAAAAGTGAAAAATTGAGTTTTATGTGTATTAAATGGATTCAACTTGTTTATATTTATATATAAAATTGCATATGTAAATGCATTTTTGACACTTTTTCATTGAAACAAAAATATGAGCCATGCGTATCGCTTAAGCAAATTTATTAAACATATTTTTTGGACATATAAATGTAATTATTGTTGTGTGCAAAAAAAAAATTAATAATTCTTTTAAGTCTATAATTTAACATAAATTTGGCGTGTACGTTTTTAATTTTGCAGCCCACGCGTTTGGTTTTGTTTTTTTATGAACAGAACGGAAAAAAATGTTGGAAATTTTGAAGACGACCTTTGATGAGAACAAAAAGCACCAAAATCAAAGCCGACAAACGAGTTAAGTGTTTTTAATATATGCAACAACTAACAACATTGGAAATAAGTCTGACAAATATGTATCTGAACGTCGTATCGTTTTTAACACTCGGCCAATAGTTTGAGTTTATCACATATTTTATGCGTGCCAACCAAGTCAACAGGTCTTTAATGAAACGCAATTGCTGCGCTGAATTAGCCAACATTTTGCCAATCTGGCCAAATTTAGAAAGCCTGTAAATTGCAATTCCCCTTGACGAGTCGGAACTGTTTAAAATATCAAATGTCAATGCTTGGCCCAGAGTTTAGCTGGGCATCAGACGGCGCTGACTCAAGCGAATGCCTGATCCGTTGCGTTTGGGCCCGGGCCTTTTACCACACACACAATTTCGTGAAGCCATCAATTTTAAATTTAAGGTAACCTGCCCCACAATTGGGCATGAATCACCAGTTTCCTGTCCGCCTTTCTGCCTGTTACACAAGCCGACAACATGCGTTGACCTTGTTGCAGGCGGCTGCAGCAGCTGCTGCCCCACAGAGCAACGCCGGTTGCATGCATTGCCGTTGAGGCGGATGCTTATGCAACCTTATCAGCGAAACATGAAAGCCTGGCAACAGTTGAATGACTCTCTTGGCTACGTGGCCAGCTGAACTTGAGGATGGGGTCGTCGCATGCCTAACCTTGGGCCACAGCGGCATTGCAGCCTACGAAAAATAAATCAACCACAAAATGCCGCTTAAGGTTCTTGGCCTGCAGCAAGTCATGCGGGCCATTTCCCAGACATGGCATTTAATTTCCAAGAAAAACAGCATTACTCAAAGGCAATCCTTTAATGTCATGTGAAATAATCTGTTAAAATATGGAAAATGAGGGACTTATTGGATTTTTACGTCTTCCAGTTGACATAATACTTTCTCGAAATCAGAATAGCGAAGCAAATGATGTCATTATGCTTCTTGTAGTTAATTAAAAATGCATTAGTCAAAGGCGAAGAGCGTGAATTAAAATCTAACTAAGCCTATGACGTGTGCTCATTACAACAGCTAACAATGGCAGCTAGTTTTGTGGGAATTTTTAAGAACTTCCAACTTCCCCCTCTCACCCCATTTACACAAGTCCAACTAAAATGCGTGTCTCTATATTTAGCCAATTAAAATTATGATAATGCTAAAACAAATGACAGAACTGTCAAAATGACAGCAAGCTCTTGGTATACGATATCTTATCAATGATATCAGAATTAAAACTTGTTTGCCAAAGCAGCTGGAGGTCTTTGGTCATATATCATCATAAATAGCAACAAATACAATAAAGATTTAAACAAATAGTTTGCATTCAAATTGCTTGTCTTTAATGATAAGCATAATTTATGTTTACAGTCTGTTTGTTTTTTTTTTTTTCGTTTTTGTTTTAAACAAGAGGAAATACAAGACATATTTCCGAAGAACTTTAATATAGTTACTGTTGTCCGATTTGGAATTATGCATTGCGCGTTGACATGAAGGCTGTTTAGGCGGCAAAAAAAACATGAACATTTGACAGTCAAACAAACTGCCAACTAAATTTCACCACCAACTTTGCAATCAATCAATCAATCAAAAAAAATTTTTCAGAAGGCTGCAGTCAGTTTTTTCGTTTTATGTTTTTTATTTTTTTTTAAATGCTAATGTTTTTTTTTTGGATATTGTTTTATACTTTTGTTTATTTTTACTCTGTGCCTAAAGGTCGTTTGCAGCCTGAGAAGTCGAGTACTTCCGCCCGAAAATCAGTTGACATTCGTTCTTATCAAATTTCGCTAATTTATTTAGCACATTAAATTAACTGATAAATCCAAAAAAAGAAAAGGAAAAAAAAACTTGATCAGTCAACTTGCTGTGGAATTAAAAAACTTTTCGAATACACATTTAATTACTTAATTGTCGTATTCGATTAAAACATATACCGAAGATTTGTTAGATTAATCAGCCAATCAGTAAGATGTTATATGCTCTAATTGGGAAAGATGTTTAGCTGAGCGACGGGGTTTGTCATCTAATTTCGAGCTAGACTTGCAACTTTTTTTAAATATTTATTTAGCTATAAATATGCACAAATATATTAATAGAATACTGGAAAAGTTAGTTAATATAATTCATTCGTGCATTATATTCTATTCTAAGTCAAAAAAAAAGTAATACACAAACCGACATGCATAATTTTGAAACTTAATTTAAATATTTGTGTTTTGATTGTCTATTGATACTTATATCTTTATATAACGTGCCTTAGTTAGCTCACTTTTGACATTTCAGGAAATGCAAACACATTAGTTGACTAAAAAAAAACAAAAAAACAATAATACTAAATAAAAACCAAGACCAGTGGCATTGAGGCGTCGCAAAAATAAAAGCAAAGATTAATTTGAACTAAGCCAAAAAACTAAAGCAAAAGCCAAATTAAATAACGTTTTAGCAGACAATTGTGACGGGAGATTGTGTTAAATATTTTGCAACTGAGGAATTGGAATTTATGGTACAGTTTCGAAGGCGGACCTTTAGATTTTTACGATTTGCATGGAAATAATTCAATTAGCTGGCTTTTAGCCAAGTTTATGTTGTGTGTATTTTTATGTTTATATATAAACAATAACAAATAAAATACAATTAAAATGCGCTCGTAAAAACATCGCTCCAAATCTAGTCAAACAAGCCCATTTTGTTAAATATAAATTTGATTTTTTTCATCTAGGACCAGAAGAGTCGATCACAATTTTGAATGCCAACTTTATAGTTGACTTTATATGGGAGCTTGTTTTATTAGTCAGCATACACTTTCCAGCCAAAATTCTATACTCTGCATAAATTTCGAACCATTTATAACTATTCTAGTTTCATGTGGTTTTTGGCTAAGCCCAGCCCGCGTCTGCCATACATATGAAGTGTTAATGCCATTTTACTTTCATAACTCACCAAATTTCATTATCGACTCGCATTTGCGTCCGTAGGCTAGTTTTACCTGTACCCGGACTGCCCACCGCAATCGTATTTTTACATAAATTTCATATAAGTTAGCTCTTTTATCTGGCCAAATGTTCGCTCAGCACTATTTTTATGCCACCAGCTCGTCTGTCCGGCTTGGCGGCATCATGTTAGCCAAATCATTTAAATGATAATATCTCTCGCTCGCGCAAGTTCCCGTCTGGGCTGAACCATTTTTTGTATTATCTTGTATCTTTGCTAAATATATATTCACACTTTTATTATATTCAAAGCCTATGTTATGCCCGGTTCAGCATGTTTTTTTTTTCTAATTCAGGTACTATGTGAAGTTCAAGGAACTGGCCGATACATATTTTTCTTGATAATAAAGATCATTGAGCTCATTTAAAATGCAAAAAAGGCATCAAACATTAAAAATCTTGTCCAGACTTGGTTAAAAGGGCTAGGTTTGCCATAAAATGCTAGTCGTCCCTTTAGTTATAATTAAAACAAATTTTATGCTGATCTAAGCATTAAATACCTTTGTCTTCAGCATTTAGAAAGTTTATATAGATTATGAAATAATCGAATAAACCTGATTAAAATGCTAATCACATAGTTGCTGACTCCTGCAAAGCTGCTCCATTTTAGACAACCTGAAGTAGCTATTTTGCTGTTCATTTTTTAAGAATATGCAAATGGGAAACGATTTGCCTATTAGATGGATTTTAAGAGCGGGCATGCATCATTAAAAGTCGCAAATAACAAACAAAGACGTCAGAGCCGAACAAACCAACCAGTATTTGTCCTGGTCAAGCTCAAGGTCAGCGGCATTGTCCAAATCGAAAATCATGTGAATATCATAAAAGGAAACCACTTAAATGAGATCCAATAAACGAGACTAGTTTATCGTGTGCGGCCGCGACGCTTGTTTTGGCCATTTTGTGCCTGTGCCTTGAAAGTAGTTCTATTTGTAAATACCAGTAAATACGACGATTAAGTTTTAATGAAGCACATACATATTAATGTGACAGATCTAAAAAAACCAACTCTTGGACAACAATATTTGGAGTTGCGCTCACAAAACAACAAAAGTTTGCGTGCCGCAAACAATAATCCAACTAATGTGTTTATCCAAAAGAGAGAAAAAAAAATGGAGAAAAAAAATCATTTGCGTAATCGAAAGCGCACTTTCGGTTTCTTAAATACCACAAACTTTTAATTTCAATGCGTTCATTCACTTGATACACGCAGCATCCAAGAAAATAAGTTAGAATAAGACGCCGAAGAATAAATACCCTTGCAGACAAACGTTTTTAACGACACATTCCCTCTATTCCCACGAGAGCCATAAGATTTAGTAGACTTATTCAATATGACTTTCCAGACGAGGTCAAGAGAAGACTGAATACTGAATAACCGGGGTTGCTTAAGATATCAAGAAAAACATACAAGTTAACCATACAAATCTAACACAATTATTCTTCTATATAATAAAGAGCTAGTACAGGGTCTCATAAGATCTGCCTTGCGAGAACAACAGCAGCTTATTCCGATTCCTTGATTGGGATCAAATCAAGAGATCTATAGCTTGAGTTATGCATCCCGCCCCTAGGATACATGGGAGACTAGAGTCTACAGAAACTAACAATCGGACATACGGGACGGACAAGGCTATATCGTCGTTGATAGGCTAAAGAATATATAGACGTATATATATAAAATGTATTAACCAAAGAATGAAAAGTCTGTGGCCCGTAGAGTCTGAAGCCAGAGCAGTTTCCTTCTCTGGGTTACACATTTCGTGACATCACCTTAATACCCTCTGCAAGAGTATACAAATCTATTGAATATTTATCTAAACTCTTTGGCAATTAATCTCTGTTAGGCGGTTTAGAACAGGTCCAAGACCTTTGTTAATCATGCTTCGCTCAGAAATTAATATTTTTTTATTTCGTTTTTTTATCCGGCTGCTGAACCGACGCATAGACTGACCGTCTGTCTATCCTTCGGACAAGTTCCTGATAGCAGCCACATTTTATGCAAATGAAAACGAAATTTGTTTAAAAAGCTCGCAACTGCCTAAAGTTAGCTACAAATTAACAAAGAATTTATTTGTGTTTAAGGCTGAAGTTTGCTTAGCGTCTTCTTTGCATTTTAAAAATTTATATGTATATGCTTATTTTATATATATTTATTTGCATTTGAATAAATACATTTATATATGTATTTATTAATTTTTTTTTTTTCATTTTTATTTCGTACACACGCAATCTTCCGCAAAATATTTTATATATCTTTAAATCAGTTGAGAATTCCAAGTTTTTTTTTGATCGCACAAATTTTTTAATTATTTCTTGGCGTAAATCAAAATGTATTAACATCATGTTCTATGGTCAATTTAGAATTTTTCTCGCAACTGTCATTTGCTGACATTTATGCCGTCATGCGGTTTGCTGAACCCGCCAACTGTCGACAACTCGAGAAATATATGTTCTCACAGTATTTCGATCCGTTCCGTTACTTTTTATTATACTCTGTGCTCGTAATCGGATTTATTTGCTTTACTAACGGCATTTGCAAAATTTTAAGTATTCGTCTGAGGTCATGCCAAGTGAGTTTTATATTCTGATTCGGAGTGCCATTATAAATTCGTAAATAAATTTGCGCTTAACACATTTTTGTATAGCTCATCAAGGCTATCTGATTTGAATAGGCTGCTTCAATGAGTCAGTCCAGTCGGTCAGTCCAGCATCCGGTTCGACAAGTGCTAATCAGATCTGTGCCGATTTTTTTTTCTTTTTTAAATTAAATTTGCTTAACTCACCATTAATCCATCCATCAATGCAGATTGCGCTGATCTTTCACGCCTCAATAGTTGCAGAGCATTTTCGACACGTCCTCACGAGTTTTAAACCTGAAACTGGACGCTCTTTGCCAAGTTTGGGTATCCGATGCGTGGGTCACTCTGCTAAATATTATTTCATAATTCTTAGTTTGCATTAAGTCCGACGTGCCTGACTAATTATGCCCAAATAAAATGAAAATTTAATCAATTTTTTGTAGCTTGCATTTAAAAGCATTTTAAAGTGACGGTCAAATCGTTTGTGAAATGAATCAATTTGCGTAGGAATTAAAAAAAAAAAAACAAAGTCGTTCATTCTTTAAATAAATAAAAAATCTGATTTAGATGCTTCACTTTTACTTTATATCGAATTGTGATTATGTCACAAAACACATGCAGTTGCCAACAGACGCTTGGATTTGTTATAGTTACAAATGCAATGTGTTGCAAATGTTGCACAAAACCCAGAGTCTGTTATAACTATAGTTATTTGCCCAACACAGCTGCACTGAACCTCATGGGAAAAGTTCACACAAAGCTTTTTTGGGGCTATTGTTATTAGTTTTGTTGCCTTGAACTCGCATAACAAATACAAAGATACATGGATATGCAAGTGGAAACCAATGCATTTTGGTATTTGTTTGTATACAATAAAAAAAACTTTATTATTTTTCGCTTTAGCTAAAAAGTCGTTTGTACAAAAAAGCTACACATATATATATTCATATATACATATATATAAAAATATATATATATTGTATTGTATGTAGGTGTGTATATAGTAAAACAGTTTAAATACTTTTGCATATGGTACACAATTTGTAAGACAGAGTTACAAGTTAGACAAGCACTAATAGACAGTTATTATTTAACTGGTTAACGTTTGTAAATATTCGAATAAAAAATGGAGGGTCTTAAAAGTATTGGACGTTTACGTTTCGTATTGCTTAACTATTATTCTCAACTTTTTTTTTTTTTGGGTACTGAAATCTTAACTAAAGCACTAGATTATTAGAAGTTTATGCAATCCAATCGTTAGTCGTCGCATCGCGATTTTTCAGGTATGAGAAACTACAAATATTTTGATTATTTTATATAAAGGCACTTTCAACTATAGCAATGCTGTCTAATTAAGGCACGAGTGTTTTACTTGTTGTTAGTTCTAAGCGCATGCGACGACAAAAACAAAACTAATTGATAATACGGAAGGGGACCGAGGGGTAGGTGACGTTGTGCGTTAATTGAGCGCAATTTGGTATGCAAATATTGATATACACGCGATAATGGTTCATTTGAGCTTCTAGTGGAATGAGCCTCATTGATGTTTAGTTGGCGTTGTGGTTGCTGTTGTTGTTGTTGTTGTTGCTGCAGAAATTGAGATGAAGCATTGCAGTTACAGTCAGTCTTCCGTAGAACATGCGCCAGCCTATCTCTGTCTGTTGTTGCGGACGTGTTAATGAACTGTAGATTGGATGATTCATAAGTACCAACTGAAAGTCTCTTTGGATGTAATGTGTCATGGTTGGTGCGGAAATGTTGTCTGACAATTGCATAAACATTCAACTAGCGGCTGGTTTTTTGCATCTAAAACTACATTTAATTATATGGTGAGAATTCTTTGTAGAATGTCGTGGGGACGGAATGTTTTTGTGTTGTTTTTGTTGTTGTATTTATGGTTGTGGTGTATGCTGCTGCAAACAAACGAAATTAAGGTTAAAGGTTACTTTGTTCTCCCGAGGTATATAACACACATACTTACCGACTTTATTGTCACCTTGTCAAGGGACTAACGCTGTCAGCGTTAGCCACGCACAAGCTCAAAACGCGTCTGCGACTCCTTGAACTGTACACGTTTCCGTTGCTGCACATGTGCCTCGGTAAGGAAAAGCGTGGCGGCCACCAGTGTCATGACCGTGCCCACACACGCCAGCACAAAAGACCATCCGAACCAGTTGTTCGCATGCTCCGGCATCCAACCATTCCGATTGCCAAACACCGCAAAAACAATCACTGCAATGGCCGCACTGACACCAGCACCCAATAGCACATAGCCGATACCACGAATTAGATTGATGAAGTGCTTTTGATCTGGTCCAGCGCAGAGGAAAAACACCAGAACGCCAATGGCACTGACCAGCATGCCAATAAACGTGAGCGTGTAGAAAAACTGGGTGGTTATCATGAAGGCAGGCAGCAGGAATCCGCGTATCTCATCGTAGCCCTTCGTAAATGGGTCATACACCCAACGGCAGCCGACAAAGAAGCGGCGCTGGCTATCATCGTTCACATCGGGCAGCGAACGAAAACAGTGCACCCATAGACCCAATCTCTCCAACTTGGCACCCGTAATGCGATAATCGCTAACCAGCCAACTGGGCGTTGCAAACGCTATTGCTATGAAGGCGAAAGCAAAGATGAAGACGCCAACGCCACAGCTGCCTGCTAGGGTGCGGCGCTTCATGTTGACGGTGTTGTGTGGATTGGGTAGGTGCTGCTGGTATTCCTCGCGTGCAAAATGTGGCGATTTTTGCATGCTTTGTACAAAGAATTGGCAATATTTCACAGACTTTAAATGTTTGTTTCTTGGGCTTAGGGTGTGGACTGCAGAGTTGCATATCATCGCTTGGAACACGTTCAATTGAGCGGCTCTCTGAACTAGCTCACGGAACTAAGTCGCTGTTCGCGAATTTTGTTTAGGTTCGATTTTTGTTAATTTATATTTACATTTTTTTATGTGCAATTGGGAGCGCAACTTTTAATTAAGCTAAGCCAAAAAAGGTTAAGATATTTAACATAAGTGTAAAGCGAAATCCAGCGAATTAAGCTTGAGTTGGAATTAACATCCGAATAACAGTGTCGTGACTGTTATCGGCCCGTCTAAGCTTGAGTATCGATAATGCAGGGCCGCCATCGTATGTAACCAGGGACTGTTAATTATTCTATATTACATTATGAAAATTTCATGTCAACTAACGAATTAGGTTTGGATATTCACTAGTCGGGCACTCTTAAACAAATAATAAATCATAAACATTACTAGCGGTGCCTTTATAAAAGTGCATTTTGACAGCGGCTTGCTAGCGATTCACTCACACATGCACATTACACAAGTTATTTTCGTAAAATATAACAATCTTTATATGTATGTATTGTGTTTACAGTCTTTAAATGAATAAAAGGCCCGTCCATGCATTATTACTATGTTTTGTACGTTTAAATGCTAAACCATGTGCGTCTTTGACAATTGAGAAGCTTTTTATCTTCAGTTTTAGAGGGCGGCTACCGCCTTCTGCGCGGCATCATCCAAGTCACTGGCCGTCTGTATTGGCAGACCTGAGTTCTTCAGGATCTCACGTGCCTTGGTTACATTGGTGCCCTCTAGGCGCACAACCAGCGGCACGTTGAGTTTTAATTTCTTGGAGGCGGCCACAATGCCATTGGCAATGGTCGCGCAGTTTACAATGCCACCAAACACATTCACCAGTATGCCCTTAACTTTCGGATCGGACGTGAGGATTTCAAAAGCTTTGGCCACCTGGTCCTCCTGGACTCCGCCACCGACATCCAAGAAGTTTGCAGGCTCACCGCCATTCAACTTTATTATGTCCATGGTGGCCATGGCTAGGCCGGCGCCATTAACTAAACAGCCAATGTTTCCGTCCATGGCCACATAGTTGAGATTATATTTAGATGCCTCTACCTCACGCGGATCAGCGTCCTCTTCGTGGGTGTCCAAGGCAAAAATGTCCTTCTGACGAAACTCTGCATTGTCATCAAAATTCAATTTGGCATCCACAGAAATAACTTCGCCATTGTCGGTTTCGGCCAAGGGATTAATTTCAATTTGCACAGCATCTACGGCCTTGAAAAGTGTGTAGAGTTTCTGAATCTCGTCGGCACAGCGTTGCACGGTATCGCCTTTAAATTCCAGAAACTTGGCAACCTCGAGCAGCACGGCCTCTGGTATTGGCTTGTTAATGCTCAAGGGCACAGTCTTAATCTTCTCGGGAGTTTCGGCAGCCACGGCTTCAATGTCCATGCCGCCAGCAGGCGAGGCAATCAGCACGGGTCCATTGTGTTCGCGATCCAGCAAAATGCAGAGATAGGTCTCGCGTGTAATATTTACACTGCGTGCCACCATCACCTTGTTGACCAAAATACCCGATTTGGGCGTCTGCTTTGTAATCAGACGGTTGCCTATCATCTGTTTGCTCAGCGAAAGCACATCGCTCTTGCTGCAATGCAAAAGTACTAGGCAATTATTAATGTTTATTATTTGGCAGCCACTCTCTTATCGCGACCGCGTTATCATTGCAGAGACGGCAGCAAATGATGGCCACTTACTTTGAGGTTATGTGCACGCCTCCCTTGAAACCATTATCAAAGATACCCTTGCCGCGCCCGCCGGCTAATATCTGCGCCTTGACCACATACTCGTCACAATCTGCGTGGTAATTAGCAACAATTAATGCAACGATTATATAAATTTTGGTCGATTTGTCTTGGCTTGATTACCAAATGATTGGACAGCTTGCGTATCATCTTTGGAGTTATCCAAGACCTTGAATTGTTGTATGGCAACTCCATACTTTTGTAGCAAATCCTTGGACTGGAACTCCAACAAATTCAGATACCGCAACTGCTGCTGCAGCACAGGTGCCTTAGGATAAACAAAGAAATGGAGTTTGAGGCAAAGGTCAACGCGGGTTAACATATGTTAAAGAAACCTTATGAATGAGCTGACGTGTAGTGGTAGCGGCTTTTATTAGTAGCGACATGTTGCACTTTAAAATTATACTGGACTTTGTATACAAATTCAATTTTGATATGGCGTAGCAATTTTTATTAACAGCAATTAATCCAGCTTGTTTAAATAACAACCAAACGCTGCCGCCGCCGCCGTCGTTTAACAGAACAGCGCTAAACCTTACAGAGACGTAAACGCAATGAAGAGTACCATAACGCAAAATGGAGCAATGTAAAATCACATATGATTTTAAAATTTAATATTTGAAAAACAAGTTTGAAATAAGTAGGAACAAGGTGAAATCATTGTGTAATAGTTTGCGACCATTAAACAATAGTTTATAAAATAACATAAAGTCATGTGCATGCTGTACTGCTATTAAAGCTGTAGGTGTCATCTTAGTCTTTTACTTAACAGTGCTCTGTTAAAGCAAAATATGATATGATAAATCATCAGAGTTAAGGCACTGCTAGAATTTTACCAACAGCTGTTTTTGATATATCTTTTTATTACTGAAAAAAAATAAAATTAATGTCTAATATTAATAAAATAACTAAATTGACAATCTAAGTGCAATGGCTGATGAAAGTATAATACTGCCGCCGCTGGCCTCACTGCCACAAATTCCGACTGTCATATCAGTCAGTTGCAGCTTTACCTTAGCCGTCATCTATGTGGGAAGTCTATATGTGTGGAGCACCAAGCATAATCGCGATCATCCGACAACAATAAAGCGACGCTTCGCCAGCGTCTCCTGTGTCATGTTAATGGCGCCGCTTTTTGTTTATTTCTTCTCATCACCAGAATTGCTGCAGCGAGAGCCATTTCCCAGCCTGCTCGGCTTCCGCTGGCAGGGACTGTGGCAGGCGATTGTGATACCATATCTGCTCACCGCTCTGTTGTTTTTGGGACCCATCTTTGTGAACATGCAGAACGAATCATTCCGTTCATACTTCGGTATGCCGTCTATAATGGGACAGTCAATAAATTATTAACGTTTCCTTTCGTCAACTTGTAGACCTGGAAGCCTGGCGTGGCTCTTGTACCAGCATTATATGGATACGTAACCTTGTGATGGCACCGCTGAGCGAGGAATTCGTTTTTCGTGCCTGCATGATGCCACTTATACTGCAAAGCTTCACACCCATGACTGCCGTATTTATAACGCCACTCTTCTTTGGAGTTGCACACCTGCATCACATCGCCGAGCGTTTAAGTGTGGGCATGGAGCTTAGTACCGCATTGTTCATCGGGCTGTTCCAATTCACCTATACGACGCTGTTTGGTTTCTATTCGGCATTCTTATTTGCCCGCACAGGCCATTTTGTAGCTCCGCTGCTGGCTCATGCCTTGTGTAACCATATGGGACTGCCCGATGTACAAGATCTTTGGCAGCAGAATTTGTGGCGACGCGTTCTTGCAATTGGTTTGTATCTTGTAGGGCTTGCTGGTTGGATTTACCTGCTGCCCGTTGCAACTGAGCCGTCGCTGTACAGCAATAAGCTTTACTGGAATGTTTAGAAACCAAAAAAAGGAGTAGTATGATCATTGTATTGTTGCCATAATCGAGACTTCGGTATCTCACAGCCCACATACATATATATTTATGTATATTATTAGTTAGTCATATCATAGGAAACCGACTGTACAATGTTTAGATAAGTCTTCCGTTAAATAAACAGTGCTACTATTTTAAGAACATGCACAAATATCGGCTTAAGTTTGGCGCCAAATGTGTGGAGCAACCCTGCGTATCACGACTATCGATATTACTATAACATCTCACGATAGCTTGGCAGCTGCGACAGCGATAACGATTATACGTCATATGTGTAAAATGTTTTAAGAAATTAAGAAGCATGAGCAATGTGTGATAAAAAAAATACGCACAAAAAACTGACGCTGAAATTAGCAACGAGCACTCCAGACAGCCGGACTTGTGGCAGGTAAGTGTCATATGTGTAAATAAGTGGGTTTTTGGGTAGCGCCAGACACAGCAACAACTACGCCCACACCACAACACAATACTGCTGACGTCTCGCTCGTCCCAGGACAAACGATAATTAGAATTATAGCCCTAGTTCTTAATGTTTGCAGCAACAACAAAGCCAAATAAACGACACGTCAACGTTGCGGCCCGAAAATGTATTGCCTGCAATGTTTACTCCCCGTATTGCTCATACCAAAACCCACAAACCCAGCGCTTATGGAAACGCATGTCATGTTCATAGTGCTATATTTAATAGGCTTCTTTCTGGAACGGAAGCCATGTACGATCTGTAGCCTGGTATTTATCACCGCCGTTTCGCTGATCTGCTACAGCGGCGTGGGCAACTGCATCTTCTGGGGCAACTGCGAGGGCCATCACTGTGAAAATGGTTAAACGCCGCCAAACCAATTCAACAGCAGTACACAGAATACAGGAGTGCTAAATAATAATTACGTTCGCGTTGCTACAGCTTTACAATACATACAATTTGCATACACAAACAAAGAAACCAACCAACAAACAAACAAACAAACAATCAGTGATAAAAGTGAGTGAGTCAACAGGAGAGGAGGAGAGCCGAAGTGTGTGGTATCTACGTACGTAACTCGTACGTGAAAGTTTGTAAACAGAAGAGGAAACTAAACTATATATCTGTGCCCACTCAAGAAAGCCAAATGAAAATATTAACAAGTCCATCCCAACGCGTTCGATAGCCTGTTTCTGCTGCTGGTATTTTGTGTTTATGTATTTTAATTTAGCTAAATTTTCTGCCGCTCCCCCCAAATCCAATTCGTATTCAACTGTTTTATTTAGAATTAGAGGCGAGAGTTTCGTTTTAACAAGCGCTACAAAATGTATTGTAAATTTTCTGATTATGAGGAGAGGTACCCCGTCAATGCAACTAAGAGATTAGTCATATGTTATTAAAATAAACTAATTGTAAAAAGAAAGAAACGAATTATAATATTGCTGTGCGTCCTTGCTGCGCCAATGGACGTTGATATCGGTTGTTCCCTGTCCTGTGCACATGCAAATTGTATATATATATACACACACGACATGCATACATATATACATTACATTTGATTGATATATAAATGTATAAAATAATCAAAACAAAAACAAAGAAAAGTGTTGGATTTTTTTTACGAATTGCACTTCGTAAACTTAATTTAAGCAACGACAAGTTTTCCAATTTGTTTGGACACGAGTTTAACAAAAAAAAAAAAATCACAAAATTAACGTAACAGAAAAGAAGAATATCTATTAAAAAAAAAACATTAAACTAAAATAAAACAATTTATTGACGCTGTAGCTAACGAGATGTTTTCATTTCAAGTGCAAGCTGCAGCTGGAGATCGTTAGCATTGGGTTAGCTACGTGACATCTACCTTTGGACAGATCAAATTGTTAAGTGTTGTGCTTATCTGTGTGTATTATTGAATAACTTTTCTGAATCGAAATTAATAAAATTCTATTCTGGGTTTCTCCTATACCCATATTATTATTCTTGGGCACATGCACTTAAGTATCCAGAGAACAGTTCTAATAAAATCCTCCATTATAATACACACAGTATCTTTTGATATCCAATTATCCACAATTTTATTCGCTTCAAAATGTATGTATATAAAAAATGTACAATTTGTTGGTGTTTTTTTTTTCGTGTTTGTTTGTTTACTTACTAAAAACTACAGAAAAGTATTAAAAATAAAATACTAGAATTTATATACAAATTTCATCGGATTTATTGTGAAAAAAGGACGAAAAGAAAAATACTTCAAAACTGTAGACATATATTCAAAAACAAATACGATTTTTCTTCAAGGCTCACAAAACTTGAGAGAGGACCGATTGGAATGTTATACATACAATATCTTTTTTACGAAAATATACAAATACATATATAGATATAGTGGGGAAGGAGATATAGGTGGAAACATATATAAAGAGATTTCTTTTAGGGGCCAAAACTCAAAATTTCTATCGATTGACGTTTTCATTTTTGGCGTTTTGGGGGCTGCTACACATGCAAACGCATTAGTTTTGAGATGTTTTCGGAATCGAGCAACGGATGACGACACAGTTACAATTTGATATGGAAACAATAACGACGACGACGTAGACAACCAGATACGATTCGCAGAGCAGCAATCACAGGCGTGTTGTTGTTGTTACTTAAACGGAACGAGGCTGGACGACTAAAAAAGAGAGAGAGAGAGAGTGAATGAGGATCATTGGTTGAGTGCCAAGTGGGTTATATGGTGAGTGCTCGGTGCTTACAGTGTGGTCGCTGCGACTCTTCGGAGGCGGGACCGCCCTCGGCTGGCTGCATCATGGGCACGGGAATGCGCACGGGCTGGGCCAGGCTACGTCCAAAGATCATGCGGCCGAATGGCACCTGTGGTGGCTGATCGGGCATGGGTGGTGTCATGGTGTCGCGTGGCTGCTCCGGCAGCGGCTGCAGAATCAATCGTTGTATCTGCATGGGAGGCACTTGCTCCTCCTGCTGTTCGTTGGACTCCTGGTCACGCTGCTGCTGCTGCTGTTGTTGCTGTTCTGGCTGCTGCTCGCGCTGTGGGCTTGGGGACTGGGCTGCAGTGGTGCTGGACTGCTCTCCGGATGCCACAGGCGTCTCGGAGTGCTCTTCCTCCTCGCTAGAGTTGGCGCTATTGTTCTCATTGGAGTCGGCAGCATCCTCAGCGGTCAGGCGGCGCAGCTCGTCGGTGAAGCGGTCCTCGGCCATGCGCTGAATGTTGCGCAAATCGTCAGCGGTGATGCCCACGCGCTGCAGTGCCATGCCCAGTGGCATGTGCTGGATCTGGATCTGTGGCATCTCGCGCTGTGGCATCTCACGCTGGGGCATCTCACGCTGGAGCAGTTCACGCTGCATCATCTCGCGCTGTGGCATCTCACGCTGCGGCATCTCGCGTTGCGGCATCTCACGCTGCTCCTGCTGATTCTGGGCGGGCATGGGCATATCGTTGGTCATCTCAAACGGACGGAAAGGCAGCTGATGCATGTGAATGCGCACGGTCTGAATTTGGGGCTGCTGCGGCTGCTCCTCCATGCGCGGCGCCTGCATCACTTGCGGGGGCATTGGTGGACGCATGGGCAGATGCTGGAACGGAGGCGGCAACTGGCGAATGATAATGGAACCCTGCTGGGGCAGCTGCTGTTGCATCGCTGGTGGCATCATGCGCTGTGGCATATGGGTCAACGGCATCTGGTCGGGTATGCGGCCAAATGGAATTGGCACACGCTGGAATGGAATGAACATGGGACGCATTGGCTCAACATCTTCATCGGAATCTTCCTCCTCCTCCCGCTGGCGCTTGGACTCCTTCTCTTCCTTGTCGTCACCGCCATCGCAGAAAATGGAAATACGTTCGCCTGTAATGCGTGCCTTCTTCGGATCGGTGGTCAAATTGACGCCGAAAGGCAGCGATACGGTCTTTGAGGGTGAGTCGACAAACTCCTCGGCATGCTTGCGCTCCACCACGCAGTTCATGCGGGATCTATAGAGAATGGATTAATATAGAAACACGTCTAAATTAGGAGTGTGCTAATTACTTCTTGTTGTTGCGCAGAATGGCGGCGGCCAGATCGCTCAAGTCCAGCTCGAGCGGCATCTTGCCTGGGAACTTTTGCATCTCCTCGGTCTCATCGCTATCTGAATAGGAATTGTCGTGATCGTTGACATTGCGTTCAATGCCCTCGTTCTTTGATTCCGTTCTCTTATCGACAACGGTCTCATCGTGATCGAGATTTTGCAAATCCTCACCGGCATCGGATTTGCCCAGCAAAGCTTCAGCTCTTGGTAGCTCCTATAAAATACAACAGAATGCATTCTATTATTTTAGATTTCCATTCAAGCACCATTTGGTGCTGATCTGATCGATAGAGAGATAGCCCTAATATACCAGGAAAAAAAAAAATATATATATATATATATATATATATATATCTATTTATATTTATGTGTATATGACATTTTGCAATGGTTTATTATTTTCAGACAATTTCAAGGCTTTGGTGCTTTTGACTAGGAAATGTATTTGACGTATTTTGTCGCTTATTTTGTTTTATTTTCCTGTATTTTTGTGATTTGTTGTTTGTTAGAAACCACTTAAAATACTTTTGGCCAGCAAGCACGTACTGGCAATATACGACTACAGTGGCTGCAATTGTTATGTGCCTCTAACAATGAGTCGTTGTCGTCAGAAGAAGTGACCCCAACCTACATACAAAAACGACGCGACGTCGGACGCAACTGCGACTGAAACCAAAAGTAAAATGCCATAAAAATTAAAAAAAAAAAAAACAAAAACCAAACACATATTACATAAGCACAAACACACATACACACACTTTAGCTAAGCATACTTCACGACACAGCAAAAAAAAATGCTCACACACAAAAGCAAATTTAAATAATTTGTTGAACAAAACAACAAAAACCTCATTAATTCAATGCGATGGCTGCGGCTGTGGCTGCTGCTGCTGATGATGATTGATAGTGGGACAGAAGTGGGCAGCGGGGCAGGGTGTGTGTAGGTGGTTTTGAGTGTACCTGCCCAGGGGCAGCACGCCAGAAAGCCCGCCAGCTGCCGGTGCTTTGGTTTGAAAAATAATGTTATAGACAGCGTCATCGTCATAAGCATCGTATATATCCGGTAGCTAATGGGTTCTGCGGCTCATTATCTGTGGCTTGACATT